TTCTAGATGGTATCAAAATTTAACTCTTTCCTGGCAGCTGCTGAAGTTACAGCATGCCGTGTACTATGAGCGGTAAAATGATCCGTATCAATCCTACTCTTATTTAGGACAATTTTAATCCAGCTCCCCAAGGTTTGAGTGGATGTTTTCTTATGCGGTTTCTTGATTGTTACGAAAACAGAAGTTATACTTCCTCTAATGCTCTCTGTTCGTTTTAGATACTCTACTAACGTGCTAGCTACGCATAAATTAGCGTCTTTCTTGAAATAAGGTAAGCGTAAAAAGGGTTGCGGCTTATTTCTACCGAATGTTTTTAATCTTGCGCTAATTTTTATATGTATTTCCCCTAACTTCCGAAAAATTTCCCTTATATCAATAAGCGATAGTGTTTGTAAACGTTGACCCGATGCTAAGGCCAGTAATGTCACTAATTTATGCGTAAGCCCCTCCAAGGTTAACTCATAATTATTTTTTATTTTTAAATAATTAAGTACTACGTACGTAGGATCCCAGGTATTTTCGGACTTGGGCTTATTAGGTCTCAACATATATATTCCCTTAAAAAACCTTTGCATACGAAAATCTTGTAAGAGGTCTGGGCCCGCTATCTGTGCTATGGCTGCTCTATAAGAACTTAATGAGCTAAAAGATGCGCCTTCGTTAAAGAGTTGAGTCAAAATATTAGAACGTTGGAACCCGAAACCGAGAAGGGATCTAAGTTCTTAACGCTACAAAATTCCCACCATTATTTAAGCCCTGAGTTAGACTGTTTTAAGGTGTTACTTGTTATTGAAGACATGCAAATTTCCAGCGCTTCTTCTGGAACATTCCCTAAGAGCAAGGCTTGCCTGATAGCCGGACCTCCCGTCAGAGAAAGATGTTGGCTAACGGGTGGGGAGATCCGCTAAAAGAAGTAAATATTTATTAATTTAAAAAAATAATCGGCTCATCTATTAACATCGCCCTTAAAACCGAATACCAAGGTTGCGAAACCCAGTTGGGTACAACCATTATACCTTCTGCCTGATCAGAAATAATTTTTTTTCTTTTTGCAGAGCCTTTGGGACCATTGAAAATGGAGGGAAAGCAAAAAATAAAATGTTTCCCAGTTTGTTGTAAAGGCATCAATGGCGTACATATCTGGGTCCCTGTGCCACGATATGTATTTCTTGCATTTAGCATTTATATGCGTAGCAAACAAATCTATTTCCGGTAAACCCCACTTATAGTGACCAATTTCCCAAATGCCCAGCTCGCTAAACTCCATTCTGTCTCGACCTTAAATTCCCTGGAAGCCCTGTCAGCTTCCTTATTCTCTTGAGATCTAATATAAGAGGCTACGATAAATAATCTCCTTTCCTCACACCATTGCCAAATTATTCGAGGGATATTGTTTAACTTGGAAATTGAACACATTATGTTCTATGTAATATAGGTATATGCCAGTGCAGTAACACTACTGCACTGGCATATAGGGTAGACAACACTGTCTACCTTGCACAAGCTAGAAACGTTAGATAAGTCATTAGCAAAGCCTTTCAAGCCAAAATAAACAGCTTGTAACTCCCTAAAATTTATGTGTTCTTCTCATTCGTAGGTAGGCCAGAGACCTTGAGAACTTATGTTATTGCAACAAACACCCCATCCAATATCTGATGCGTCAGAGAATATTTCCATAGAGTATTTACTATATGATAATAAGTTTTTGCTAATAGGTATGTTTCGAATCCACCAATCGGTATCAACACATAACTTCTTAGAAATTTTCATAGTTCCGTTATAATTTCCTTTATTACTCTTTAACGCTAAATTTTTTTCTCTCTCGAAACAATTTGGTATATAAATAACCGTACTTATGGCTGGACATATGGATATCAACTTCCCTGTTAGCCTTACAAACTCCCTTGTAGTGCATTTCTTCCATCTTAAAAACTTTTTTAAATGCAAAATTATTTTTGTGATTTTTTCCTCTTGAACAGAAATAGTCATATCCATAGAGTTTAATTTAAACCCCAAAAACGTCACAATTTTTTGTGGAGATAATACTCTTTTTATAGTTTACAATAAACCCCATATTCGAGTAGTCCAATTGTTTCTAATACATTTGCTAAACATGCATCATAAGAATCTCCTAGTAATTAAAAATCATCTAAATAAACAACTGAAACGTGAATATCTCTGTAATAAACTGATTTTTACATGGCTGTGCCTTAGAAATAGCCCCTATACTAAGCAATCTCCGAACGTTGCCCTCAATTGTCTTATGTTGTTGCACCGACCATTTATGTCTACCTGAGATTATGTTATGTGATGGTCTCGTCACAAACGGAATTTTAAAACCTTGCAACCATGCCATAATACATCTATTATCCCTATACATCTTCCCTGAGAACGCGACCTTACGCCGAAGTGTTGTATTCGGTTCCAGGTCCGCCTTTGACGTGGGCGGTTGTAGGAAGTTTCTCGAACATTGAGTCTGTCCCGTTTCCCTCCCTGCTGATGTTGAGGCAGACTTTTGAAGTTTAAATGCGGCGTGGACCGAGATCTGGCTGCATTTGATACGATTCTTCCTGGAGTACTTCTGACAGTCTTTAACTGACTGGATGACAGTTAAAGGCGGACAACTCTTTGGCCGCCTTTAATCTTCCTTCCAAATCCTCACCAAACAACCAGGTATCCAAAGGGGATTCCGTTAGAGTGGTTTTCCAATTTTTATTTAAATCGAAGACACTAGTTCCCTCCTCGATATTGACTCGGAATGGATAACACCAGTTATAAGACGTTCTGTGTCGTTTAGGGTCTCTATATAATGCTTTATATTCCTTCTCCCCCCCTCCTTTTTCCTCTAAAATTTTTGCCATTACTTGGCCTATAGCCGACAAACTGGCTGCTAATCTTGATTGAATTTTAGCCAATTTCATCTCTGCACTCCACATTATCATGTATGGCCTGTTTCCGCATTAAATTTAACTATGGTGGTGGCGTTCTCTGGAGAGGGGTACTTCTCCATTAATAGGTTAAGAACGGGTTCTTCAAGGCCGGTTTTTGCAATGTGTATCCATCTTTCTGCAATTTCCGGTTGAATCGGTGGTGTCGTGGTATTTTTCCCGTCTACCTTATCTCCTAAAACCGCTAATAAACCTTCCTACAAAGGTTTAGGTAGGCTCTTTCCAATACCTTTTTTAATAAGTGTACTAGCGCTTTCACCTATAAGAAAATATCATGATATGTAAACACATATTGGGGCTAACTCATGCTTAAGGAGTTTATAAATCTTATACAGCTAGCTTAGCAAAACGTCACTCCATAAGGACAACCACCAACGTGCCCTTATGGGACTACCAACTTTGAAAATAAAAGCAAGACAGCCATGCGATAAGTATTCACCAATAATACATATATACCAAGCTAGAGTAACCACCAACGTACTCTGCTGTATTAATGTAATAAGTGGGAAAAACTAGGTAATATAAGCATTCACTGAGGTATTCGCCAACAATACCTACACACCAAGCTAGAGTAACCACCACTGTACTCCGCCACAATTAACTTGAATAAATTTAATGTCCTATAAACCAAGCTAGAGTAACCACCAACGTACTCTGCCATATTATTGTAGTAAGACAGCCATGCGATAAATATTCACCAATAATACATATATACCAAGCTAGAGTAACCACCAACGTACTCTGCTGTATTACTGTAAAAAGTGGGAAAACTAGATAATATAAGCATTCACTGAGGTATTCACCAACAATACATACCCACCAAGCTAGAGTAACCACCACTGTACTCCGCTACAATTAACGTGAATAAATTTAATGTCCTATAAACCAAGCTAGAGTAACCACCAACGTACTCTGCCGTATTACTGTAAAAAGTGGGAAAAACTAGATAATATAAGCATTCACTGAGGTATTCACCAACAATACCTACCCACCAAGCTAGAGTAACCACCACTGTACTCCGCTACAATTAACGTGAATAAATTTAATGTCCTATAAACCAAGCTAGAGTAACCACCAACGTAATCTGCCATATTAGTATAATAAGACAGCCATGCGATAAGTATTCATCAATAATTCATATATGCCAAGCTAGAGTAACCACCAACGTACTCTGCTGTATTAATGTAATAAGTGGGAAAAAACTAATATAAGCATTCACTGAGGTATTCACCAACAATACCTACACATCAAGCTAGAGTAACCACCACTGTACTCCGCTACAATTAACGTGAATAAATTTAATGTCCTATAAACCAAGCTAGAGTAACCACCAACGTACTCTGCCATATTAGTGTAATATAAGCATAAGTGGAAAAATCTAGATAATATAAGCATTCACTAAGGTATTCACCCACAATACCTATATACCCAAGCTTAGAAGAAATTCCCCTACTATTCAGGTATTGTATATGTATATGTTATATGTTTATTTACCTTTATTTCTAACATCTCAAACACTGCTTCTAATATCGTCCTCAGAATCTTGCGAATAATCACTACTATTCGCCTGCCTCTCAAAACTTGTTACACTTTCCTCTTCCAAACTTGTCACTAATCTTTTTCTTTTACGCATGTTTTTATTTTCTAATAACTTTAATCGCTTATCCATCCGTTTAAGATAATCTAAAACACTCCGCTCTACGGAGCGAGAGCCGATCGATATCTTTTACGCGATATTCGATGTGGGTCGTACCGCACACAAAAAAAGACTAAATAAGAAATGATGCAAGGGCATGTAATGAGGTAAGGGAGCAGGGAAGCAAGGGGCATGTTGAAATTTGTTTGTTTAGGCTTTAAAATGTGTGGTCGCCGCACGGAGAAAAGGGAACTACATTGTACTTATTTATGGAGACGAGACCTATATAATAATAATATTGTCGTCGCTCGATAAAGGATCCATAATATTGGTATCAGATTCTATTTTATACCTATGGACTTTATTTGATATTTTTGTTGATAATCAATATATTTCATATGAATTTTCTTTTGCAGTCTGAAATATGGCATCCTCCACAAAAGACCTGGATGGCGTGGTTAACGATTTACCCCCGGGACCGCTGGACACCTATAGAAAACAAGCAAAGTTTCATTGGAAACAAATGAAACTGTTTTTTGAAGATGCAGAACTGCTGAAAATAAAGGTAGTTAACAGGTACTTTTCACATCTTTTAATTTTTATGTTTTTGTGGGGAAATTCGTATATGTCCTTTATACACTACTCAAAACAATTATCGAATATTTGAATAAAAATAATTATTACATATTTCTAAATGAAGCATACATTTTTCTGCCTTTCTCTTCTGATTTTTGTAGGATAATTAGGTTACACGTAATTGACATTTTAACAGATATATTAGGGTGACCCGCAATTTTTGGTCGGCCGACTATTTAGTTGCAACACATGCAATCAAATCGCTCACATGCAATCGGCTCCATAAATATGTATTGTTTTCACTTTTGCAACTACATAGTCGGCCGACTAAAAATTCCAGGTCAACGCGTGGGCATATTGTTTCGAATTTCCCTTCACAGTATCCAAACTGAAATAGTTTACCTTTCAAGTCAGGGAATTCAAAGTATCTTGTTTTTCAAATTAATATTTTTTTTGGAAATTATGCGTTAATTGTTTTGAGTAGTTTACTACTTGCTATGCGATCTTAATTAAAGTTATTCAAATACGATCCAAATATTCAACTATTTTTTATTGGCCACATTTACATTATAATATCTTATTAACAGAGATAATATCAATACCTTTGTGGCTGGATCAGACAGATCTTTTATAGCAAATTACATTAAAATTTGTAACTATCATCGTCCAGGTCAATCTATCTTTTTGATCTGTATATTTCTGAAAATATTAAGATTAAAAATGAAATATATCTGGATTAAACAAGTTTTCGGCAAGCTGTCGCGTCTACTTGGGTTTTATTGTATCTTCAATTAGACGCTAATTTCTATTATCAAAATGCCGCAACAAAACAAACCATTTAACGTTAATTGAACATAATTTCAGATGAAGGTATGGAACACTTTAGAAAGAGATCCCACATTCCAAAGACCGAAAAAAGTACCGGACAGCGACGAAATGAAAAGACTCGCTGCTATACAATTACACAAGTACTGCCATTACAACTTCCTCCATCCGGACACGGCTAAGTTGCCTTATAAAAGAAAGGTGAGTGCTTAATCTCCATATCCGATACCTCATTTCCCGTTACTCAGTCATGACTGAAATAAAACTATACTGAAGGTACAATAATGATAAAATGATGGGCTGGTACTATCACATAACCTGAAGATGATTAGACATATGTTTGTTACTTGGAAAGATGTAATCTTCTTGCCTTGTATACAGCTGCGAAATGTTTTATTGGTGTAACCTTTGAATAAGAAGACTAAGGAAGGAGCATAATGCTATCCATGTATTCATGCATGGTGGGCGGAAAAAGCTCTCTAGGGTGGGGATCCTTGACAGTTCTGTTTGACGATTCATTTGACACATTTGAATTTGATTTGAAATTTTGTTAGAAAGGTTATAATAAGTTACTAAGGATTTGTCAGTCTTTACGGATCTTATTTTATGTTATTTATTATTTATTCTACTACTGATAGTTGTATAAAGGTAGTAAATCTAGATGGAAATTGTGGCAGAACTTAAATTAACAGTGACACTATCGCGATTTATCGAAAAAGACAAAAATAGTTGGTTCTGTAGCGTGCGGTAGATCTCGGCAAAAATTGAGTGAAATAATGGAACAACTTTTCGCTAGTAAGTGACTATATAATATACATACGTGTAGTAAACCGATCATTTATGAAATTCACTTAAATTAACTAAATTATATATTTTTCTTGCATTTTAGCTTTTATTTACTACTTGTCAAAGATCAGATGTCAAAGAATTTTAAATACTTAATTTGACTTACCTGCTTCAGTAGCGTATCGGATGTTTGTGTTAATAAAAACTTATTATAACTTATCTATTTTTATTAGAATTATATATTTTTATAACAATTTTAATAACTACCAACATTTATTCACAACGTAAAATAAAATAACAAATTATTGAGCCTACCCCACGTCTACCCTACATCATAGTTTTACATTTTTTAAATAAAATTAGAACGGCACTGATAAACCGGAATTTAAGTCGGCCATATTTGAGGCCCATCGCGGTGTACCTAAGATTTTTGATATGCTCCTTCCTTAGTCTTCTTATTCAAAGGGTGTAACAGTACTGAAAAATTTTGTATTTTGTATTTGACTAAGAGCGGGTCCCACCTGGGACCCACTGTGGCCGCGAGGGCCTATTGTGGCTCAGTTTCTATAAGCTCTTTAATAAAAAAGGAGCATTAAAGTTCACCCTCAAGACTCAGCCTTTTAACATAGGCCGTTATGTGCGAAGGTGATATGTCTTCTAGGTCTGATAGGTCTAGCGTGGGTTTGCCAAACACCTCAAACCTGGTCCTGCCCCCAGCGGGGCAGGTACACATAACGTGCTTCATTGTTTCGTCATCTTCCATACAGAGTCGGCATTCGGCGTCTTCGACCAGTCCACCAATCCCATCCTCTGTAGGTGTGATCTCAGCCGGCAGTGGCCCGTGTATACTGCAGTAAGCGTACGCGCTCCTACTGAAACATTAGAGTTATCTTTGAATTTTGTTGACCCCCGTATTGTCTTTCTTGACTATTATTTGTCTTGACTTGATATTTAACCATAGCTTTGATTCTAGTTTTTTATCCATCGGCTTAAACAGTTGCAAGTCATTAAATACCATTATTCTTTAGTGAGAATCACTCAAAACATGTGCAAACATATTCTTTAGCTGTCACTGGCAAATGATGGCTCTTTTTTCTGGCTGTAAAATTCATCAAAAAAGAAAGTAATGTTTCCTTTGTATCAACAAACTAGCAACTTTGTACCAACATCCGATATTTATTTAGACTACCCTCGTAATAATGTGTGCTATAACATTTATTGTTTTCTATTGCTTTACTTATGTTTTCCTATTCTAGTAAGCAAAACGTAAGGTTTATCAACTTCGTGATTTGGCTTACCACTTTTTCGATCGTTACCACTTTTCGTTTTGCGTATCGTCTGGCGTGTCATCTCTCTAGTTCGTGTGTCACGGTGTGATTAATGTGATAAGGTGTGATTAATTTTTACTCTCCAGCACAAGTAAAGAAGTTTCACTTCAACAAGAAACTTTATATTTGACACTAAATTTATAGCGTTCTGTAGAATTCACGATTACAATATTTATAATTATTAAAATATTACAAACTGTAGCAAACAACAAGCGTTGTTTTGATTTCAGGACGTCAATTTGTATTTTAAATTATTTTTTTAGAATCCTGCAAAATATATTTTTTTTTATTAATTAACTTCTCTAGACCTATCAAAACAAATACCATATGATCGAAAAAAAACGGCGTCCAGTTGGCTTGAAAATAAACATCGATAACATTCCACATATATATTTAACATATAACGCCGCGTTTTTTTCGATCATATTGTACTTCCTAGTTTGTATATACAGGGTGAATTTTAAATAAGTGCAAATATTTTAATGGTAGTATATTTCGACCCCAGAAACACGTCTATGATTTTTTTTGCCGAAATTTTTTTTTCGGAATTTTATTAAATTTTTAGGTAAAAAACATATCTTCATAATATGGCAACATAGGTAGTAGATTAAATTTTCAAAAAGAAAACCCAGAAAAGATCCAGTGGTTCACAAAATTTAAGAGAATTTTTTTTTAAACTTCAAGCTAAAATATCTCGGTTATTTTGAGCTTATGTATTTGAAAAACAGTAAAGAGAAAATTTGTCTCATTTATCGAGATCTACCAGCACTGAAAATATTTGCATTTATTTAAGACTCACATAATATCTTCATAATATTGCAACATCGGTAGTAGATTAAATTCAAGAAAGAAAACCCAGAAAAGATCCAGTATAGTTTTTAAAATTTAAGATTTTTTTTTTGAAAATTGTAGGCTCACCCTGTATATCAATCGCATACCACTAAATTACAGTAAATTTTGGTGTTACGGTGGTATTACACAGTTTAGAATAGAAACATTTCTATATTCTTTATTATAGGAGCTACCTATAGATGCCAGACGCACTGTTGCAGGCTCCTGGGGGATTATATGCAACAGCTTAACTAGTAATATATTTAATAATTAAAAGAACATATAAATTCTTAAATAATATTATTCTTAATAATATTATACCGTATGATCGAAAAAAAATAGCGTCCAGTTGTCTGGGAAATGACGCTATTGATGACATTCCCCATATAATTTTCATAGATAAATGCAACAAGTTTAGATTGGAAAGCCCGTAAACATTTTCGGTCGCGAAATTATTTTGGGTCGCGACCGTTATACGCGATCTATAGCGGTCGCTAAGAACAACGGCAAACAAAAACAGAAATAATTTTCTCTTGTCAAAGTCAGAATCTTCAAAAATCATAATAATCTTTCAAAATCTAAACCGCTCTCATTAAAGAAATTCCGAAAAGTGTTTATATATAGCATCCATTTTCAAAGTAATTATTGCTATCTTGTGAGTTTAATTCAAGTTTTATTTAGTCCAACCGGTAATAATTGTGAAAAAGTGGCATTAAAATCTTAAAAAGCTGTGCTGTGAATTGTGAACTGCAAAAACCATCGTGAATCGTGGTATAACGTCGGTTTCCACTGTTTCATAGGTATTTCATACATGCCACCTTATGTAAAATAAAGTTTCTTGTATGCAAAACACTGTATTTTATTTATAAAATTAAACGAAAATAATAATAAATTTGAATAAACAATATTTAGCGATATAATTCCGGAAAAAGCCGAACCGCTCCGAAATTTTCAAAAGTTTTGGGTCGCGACCGTTGCAAGAATAGCGCCAAATAGTGTTTACATTGTCCTTATGGGCACTTTCCAATCTAAACTTGTTTCATTTATCTATGATAATTTTACATATAAAATAACAGGGAAATTTCGTAGCTATCGTTGACGCCGTTTTTGATCAAATTGTACTTTTAGAATGCAGGCTTGAAAAATCATTAAACAAGCTTATTTAGAAATGTTATATAATATAAATATATCTACGCCATATATCAATAGATGTGCGTTCTTGGCTTCTAAACCTAATATACTTACTTACCTACTTCATTGTCTATTTAAAATACTACTCACGTTTATTGAACTTTATTAGTTGTAATTTATTCATAAGAAATTTTATAGTGCGCATATTTCCTAAACGACTAATTTCAATAGACTGGCTGGGTCTTTGACTCTAAATTTATAATATTTTTATTATTATATCTTTGAATATCTAAACTATTATAATTAGATGTTCTTATCAAATATATATAAAATGCGATATGTTTTTAATTGCAGACTAAATTTATGATGACCGTAAACGAAGCACTGGCCGTTGCATTTCCAGATGTCTCCATTAAACATGCTGTAGGAATTGGACTTTTTAAGAACGCTTTGTCAACGTTAGGCACCGAAAGGCATCAGCACTTCGTAGATGCTTCATGGAACAATCAGGTTTGTAGTAGCACAGATTATCAAAAGCATTGTTTTTTGTGGTTCCAATTTTCGGAGTCGCGCGCTAGTTAGGTTACTAGTTTGCGCACAAGCACCACAAGCACGCCCACCTATGGCCTCTAAAATTGTGCACAGAGCCTGACCGGCCTTGTGACCGGCCCAGTTATTACGCTGTTTAAACGGGAGTTTATTTTTGCGCACAAGAAAATTTACTCCTTTGCTCATCGTAGTAAATAAAATTTTAATAATCAGTACTAGTAATAATTGTTATACACAAAAAGAAAAAGTGAACATGATAAAATCTGACATGTTTTGGTCAATTTTCCCTGAATATTAAAATTTTATTAAAATTAAATTACTTTTGACAATGACAAAATCATAGTTTGTAAAATGTTTGTAAACCTAAGGTATGTCAGTTTTTGACTAGTGTTTGATTCATAGATAAAAGAAAATAATCTACTATTGTTTGTAAAATGTTTGTAAACCTAAGGTATGTCAGTTTTTGACTAGTGTTTGATTGTTACCTGTTCGGTTTTAATTTAAAAATAGATGCAATCTTTCTTAAATTACTTAAAATCGGCTGGTCCAAAATTGTTCAAATTTGGTATGTGTATTTGCCATACGTAAACCTTTAAAAAATGTATTAAACAGTTCAAAATTTACATGGGATTTCCTATGTTTCCAACGACGATGCACCACCCGGTATGTCAGCAATGAAGGGGCACCTTTTGAGAAAATATTTCTAGTTAGTTACTAGAAAGTAGTTACTGAGTGATTGTGAAAAGAACACTATTTTATATCGTATGATCGAAAAAAACAACGATGACATTCACTATATTCCCTCCTATATTATTTAAAAATATATGTAAGTACTAAAAATGTATACTTCTAATAGACAGAAACACAAATGAACCAATGTGATAATATGTTGCTTTTATGAAATAGTGGGTCGCCCTGTACATGGGTACTACATTTTGAGTACTATATTGTGAAATGTAACAAGTGTAAATAAAGTATCTTTGTAACTAAATGCCTTCATAATTAAAACTTAACGAAAATAACCAGCATACAATTAGAATAGTTTCAGTTGATAATAGGTGAACTCAGCAAGCAGGTGACCATGAAGGTCACATAATGACTGTATTATTTTCGCCCAAAAAAAATCTAACAAATTAGTATAAAAAATTCCGATCTAAAATTGATAACAGTCAATTATCAATTAAGTTTATAAAAAACTATTTATACTATGATTTTTACATATCTCATTAACTTTATTTTTATCTCAGTCTGGGCGCGCGACTATACAGGATGAGTCTTAAATAAGTACAAATATTTTAGGGGTAGTATATTTCGACCCCAGAAACACGACTATGAGTTTTCTCGAGAAAAAGAAATTTGGAATTTCTTGAAAAATTTTTTGGAAATGTTTTAGTTTTTAGTTAAAAAACATAATTTCTTGATAATATGGCAACATAGGTAGTAGATTAAATTTGCAAGAAAGAAAACCCAGAAAAGTTTGAAAAACCCGGTGGTTGTGAGAAAATTTAAGCAAAAAATCACGTTTTTGGAAATTTTCAAAGTAAAATAACTCGGTTATTTTGGACCTATTTCAAAAACGGAAAAGAGAAAATAATATGATACTTTTATCGAGATCTACCAGCCCTGGAAATATTTGGACTTATTTAAAACTCACCCTGTAGAGTGCAGACTGGTAACAAATATATTTGTAGAACCGCGCACACATGCAATCAAATAGTCGCAGTCGGCCGATTGGCTCCATAAGAATATATTATTTTTATTTTTGCAACTAAATGATACCCGTCTCGAAATGCATATCAGCGCCTAGCCTAAAGCATTCATAAGTTTTAACAATAGTTGTTTTTCATTTAACTTTAATGGGTATTCTACATAATTCAGTAATACAATAGATAAGCTCATTTAATTAAATTTTTTTACCGTTTTTTCCATCATACGATACAGGGTGTCCCATTAGTGCGAGGAACTTCAATATCGTCGTCGTCGTCGAATATATCAAACAAGTTTTATACAGACGTTGCATGGTTTATATAGGGACATATCCTAAAAATATTTTGTTGTATACAGGGTGTCTCAAAAAAAGTTATGATTAAGTTTTAATTTTTTTTATAAATTACACACCATTTTTTTCTGTAGATATTTGGATTCAGCATAAAATTCTGCATATAGTACACTATTTTTATTTGAAGCATTATGCGGTGTTGTCATTATATTTCTTATTTACTACAACTTACTAAAAACACTATATCCGAAAAGTGGTTAAAAACTGGAGGAAACATAACGTTATTAATACTTCCTACATTTTTCTAAACACCAAAGACAACAGAATAAACCCGCGAAGGAAATTTTTCATTATCTTATTCAGAGTAATTTTTATGGTTTTGCCTAACATCGCAGTGTTTAAAAAATGTTTGTGTTTAAAAAATTTAAATGCTATATCTCAATTTTTTTAAATACAACACCCTGTATAAAATTTTCTTTTATGTGCAAAATTAAAAAGTGATGATTTCGCAGATATTCGCGGTATGATATTATATATAGCTCGTCCACCAGTAAATTTTTATCAAAGCAACCTAATATGATCTTTGTCTGGTATTTTACTCAAAATGAAATCCCCATATGTAATATAATACAACGAATTTTGCAGATAAAACCGCGAAAAAATAGGAACACTTTAAATACAAAAAATTGGCGCCGGGAGGCACGTATAGCCGCCCATACTAAAATATGTTAATAAAAAGTTGGTAGGCAGTTCTTTTAGTTTCAAAGTAAACAAATGTTTCCAATTTTTTTTATCTCAAAAACTGTGACTTTAACTGATTTTGATGTTATTACAAATTTTGTTGCAAATATTATTCCTAATCTTAAATTGAAAACCGCGTTTCGCTAGCTACTGTAATTTTGGAGTTACGATTTTTTAAAATGTTTAACCCCCTCCCATACCCCCTTATCAACCCCCTACCCCTACCAAAAACTAATAGCCAGATTTTGGGTGCCACAGTATTTTTGTGCAAAATTTGGTTAAAATCGGTTTAGCGGTTTTTGAGTTATCGTGTTACAGAGAGACGGACAGACAGACACCATGAAAATATTTTGTATTTAGGTCTTTTATGACCCAAATAACCCATTTTGAGTGAAATTAAAAAAACTTTTTTTTGCCGATCTTAATAGCCTACCATACCTGTTGATATGGTCACAGGGTCGGCTAAAAATGTTCACTTTCAAGTCTGCATCTAACCGAAAAATAATATACCGGGTATTGCATTTTAAAAAGTAGAGATACAGCATTTTTTTAAATTTTCTGATTTTGGTAATCATTATAAACAATGCAATATCTGCGTAAAACTTTTTTTCATACCTTTAACAACAATGACAATATTTGACTTCCTCACAATCCTCACCCTGTATTTACGTACTGCATGAACTGAGAAAATTTCTTTAAACAATGTCGAACATATACTTAGAACCTATAAATCAGAGTTGGGTTTGTTACAAAACTGTGGATTGAATGTTTTAAATCATATTCGGAAACATTTTGTAAGCATATACCGCCCCTACATTACTTTTGATTCTATGATCTCCGCTATGACATATACGTATTTAAAACTTTAATGATTACGATTGAATATCCAGGTTTTGGCTTGTTTGGCGCTCACCGAAATCGCTCATGGCAGCAATACGAAACAAATGAGGACCACAGCAACCTATGATGAGAAAACACAGGAGTTTATCATAAATACTCCAGATTTCAAGGCGGCAAAATGTTGGGTAGGAAACTTGGGTAATAAAATAATTTTTGTCTATGTTTTTTATCAAGTGAAAAATCATTAACTGTTTATTTAGGCAAAACTTGTACAGTGGCAGTATTGTTCGCACAGCTATATACTAAAGGGCATTGTCACGGCTTACACGCCTTCGTAGTACCAGTCAGAGATCCCAATACACTCCTTCCATATCCAGGCCTGATAATCGGCGACATGGGTGAAAAAATAGGTTTGCACGGAATAGACAACGGGTAACTTATAGATACAATAGTTTTCTGATTGTTTAATACCATTAATTATTTAATTTCAGCTTTATTCTGTTTAAAGACTACAGAATTCCGAGGGAAAATTTACTAAATCGCACTGCGGATGTAACTCCGGATGGAGAGTATGAAAGTAGTTTTTCCGAACCTGGAAAAATTTTGGGTGCCGCTTTGGAAAGCTTGTCTACTGGGCGAGTGGGTATTATGCAAGAAAGTTCTAATAATCTCATATGCGCTGTAACTATAGCAATTAGATACGCGGCAATCAGAAAGCAGTTCGGGCCTAACGGGGATGGTGGCAATACGAAAAACGAGTGGCCTCTTATAGAATATCAACTACATGTATGTATAATACCATTATTTCGTTTCTTCTTGTTTCATTTTTATAGTTTTACAATGTCATTTAGAGATGGAGATTATTTCCACATATGGCTGCAGCAGCGATACTTAGAACGTTTGTCACCAGTTTTACCGATACGTATTTATCAGCAGTGGAGTTATCGACCACATCAAAGGAATTTCAGAATTTGGTATGTATAATAATTATGAAAAAACTCAAAATTTAAGTGAGGATGCAGTCAATAATCACCACACAGCCTAATAAAACTACATTTTCAAATTTGTCAAGCTTTCGAGAATTTTATTCCCATCATCAGGCTAGTTTCTAAAATGTATAAATAAAAAAGGCATTAACATTTTAAAATTGTATAACAGAAAAAACAACTTACGACTGAGTCAATTAGCAAAAACAACATCCTCTGCACAAAAAGGTCTTAAAACTAGCATCATATGACATTGGAATACAAGGAAATTTCCTTTATAAAATATTAAAATGCATAGGTATTCAACGAAATTACTTTTCTTTAAACAAAAAACATTTTTTTTTAAATTTACTAAGACTAATTTCTACATTGTTGTTTCGAGCTTGATCAAACAGTGACTGTTTAATAAAGTACCACAATGAACTGAACATTCTATAACTCTCCTTATCAAAAGATTTTTTTATATATAACGACATTTATTTCTTGTAACGTTTTTTCGCAAACCAACAAACAATCCACGATCACGAATTATCAAAATATATCCATTACAAAAGTACTTCGTAGGTCCGCTAGAGGACACATCAAACTTCAAAAAAACAAACATATTGGGCGCGTTCACAGCCGCTGACATTCAGCGTAGAATTTCGCTAACCAGCAGCTTACGATATTCCCTAAACGGCACAAAGCAGCAGAAAGAACAAGAAACAGTAGCTGTCTCATGCACTCTCTATCTACTATAAAAATTTGAGAGAAATATAAATAAATCGTCTTCGTCAAATCGGTCTATAATCGATCTTTAGTCTTTAGAATAAAAATTATTTTGAAAAAAGAATTATTATTACTGGCTGATCATTTAATAATTGAAAATATATTATTTGACAATACAGTATTAAACATTAAATTTCTAAAAAATAACAGTTTATAAAAATAATTTTACCTATACACGTAAACAAAACAACTTAAAATAACGGGAACTGGCAGTTCGACCAAGTCACCTTTTACGCATTTTTTTTTCGATGGTATGGTACAAATAAAATTACTGAAGGTGTAAATACCCTACAATAAAAAAAAAACGATGTCAGGGGTGATGTGGAGGTGAAGATTGCTGTTACTTTATAAGTAAACTTATATATAGGGACTATTATCGATCGTTATTATTTCTAAGCCAATTAGGCGCAATTGTTTTTTCAATCAGACGGTATTATAATTACAATCAAAAGTTATTTATGCTGATTTAGATTTTTTTCAGAAAGTAGTATTTTTTCTTAATTTCATTGTATTTAGAAAATTCGACATGAGATGAAAATCAAGTTGAATTTTCTTTATTTCTTTAACTTCTTCGATCTCTATTTACAAGTCTTTTTCGAACGTTTTAGATTAACCTACTGCTTTGTAACTTTTTTGGCAACAAATATCTCCTATTTTTTAAAGATTCGATTAACTACGATTGACTACAAACTTCAAAAAACCATAAAAAGTAAACAATAAACTGAGAAAATTAAAGTTATTTTTAGTTATTTTACATTAGTTGACCACAGATAAGAAAATAGATTAAGGCTGACTTGTCTCAGCCTAAATATTTACCGCTGAGAATTTTGCACAGCGGCTGACTGTCGCTGTTCGTCAGAATAGACCGTTTAGGGAAATCGCTTACTCAGCCACTCAGCCGCTGACCGTCCCTGAACGCGCCCATTTTTTCAGATATTTTAAGAACCGTCATTCCGATTTGAATGAGATTTTGGGAGTCTATGTTTTGCTAAGTGCTCTAACATTTGATTTTTCAAAATTTAAGGAAAAACAGGCGAAGGGTGAACCAACCTACCCCCACCCCTATAAATTTTAGTATAAATAATTTCAAACTCCACCGACGACGGCCGATTCTCTTTTCGTAAAATGGTCCCTCTAGTTTTTACTACATTTTTTGTCTCTTGTAGAAAAACTCACGGTGCATACTTTTTGAGGAAAAAAAATATTTTTCCCATATCTTCTCTCAGAAGATCCTTGGCGGTGACAAATCGGTTTTCCGCGGGCATGACGTCACCCCGATAGTAATTTTCTGTTAAGCTCCGCCCACTACATGCGTAATATCTTATCTAACCGTCCTTGTATCATGCAGAAAACCCTATACGTTCTCAATAGGCAGTGTTGCCATTCTGTTCCTCTCTAAGTAACTGTCCAGTTAACAACTTGTATGTAATAATTGTGATAATATTAATTTCTTTTTTCTTCTAGAGCGATGTAGTATCTGAAGTTCACGCCATTGTATCCAGTGCAAAAGCTTTGGTAACGTGGTCTTGTAGGGATGCAATACAGGAATGTAGAGAAGCTTGTGGCGGTCATGCTTTTATGAAGGCTTCTAGATTAGGAGATCTGCGAACCACAAACGATCCGTGTGTCACCTATGAGGGTGACAATAATGTTCTATTACAACAAACCAGCAACTGGCTTTTAAGACAATGGCAAAATCTAACTCAGGGAAACAAGTTAACCACTCCTTTAGGAAGCTGCAAATTTTTAGAAAATCATCGATTTATTTCCAGTCAGACTTTTAGAGTTGTCGAATCCAAAACTTTAACTAGTCAAAAATGTACGTAGGTTTGATAAAGAAGCACACATTCATTTATTGTATTATATTTTTAGTTATATCAGAATGTTATGAATGGCTCATTGTATACCTTCTAAAACAAACTGATTCAAAACAAAGTGAAATTGAGAGAAGAACAAATAAATTTGTGGCAAGGGCTGAATCTCAAGTTTATTGTGCTGCATTGTTATCAAAAGTATACATCGAATATTTAGCTTTGAATTATTTTTGGGCGAAAGTATGTGCGGCCGATTCTACATTAATAAATACTTTGAACAATTTAGGAGCTCTGTATGGTTTATCAAGTTTGGAAAAGCATTTGGTGTACTTCTATCAGGCAAGGCTAATAATTTCCATTTTTTTTTCTTTTGTAAATAACTAAATAATATTTTAGGGTAGTTTTACAAATAATTCAAATTTTTCAAAGATGATAAAGGATACAATTCTATTTTTATGTGATATTTTGAAACCTGAAGCCTTAGGAATAATTGATGGAATGGCACCTCCTGACTTTGTAGTAAATTCTGTGATAGGCCGTTCAGATGGAAAGGTATTATATCGATATATTAATAACTATTTATAAAAAAAATTATATTTTTTTTCGCAGTTGTATGAAAATTTAGAAGCTGAATTAATGCATGGTCTCAGTGTAATGTCTAGACCCGACTGGTGGCGAGAAATTGTTATAAACAATCCTCCCGATTTTATGAGACATCGAAGCAAACTTTAATTATCAGATATTGTTAACAGAGCTGCAACAAGTCAGTTTTAAAAAGACTTAAGTCTTGGTCATTTCTAAAATCAAAATGATTTAAGTCTTAAGTCAATTTCAGTATAAAGTTCAAATGACTTAAGTCTTTGACTTAAATCTTTTCCTTTCAAGTCAAGTCATTTTTGTAAAGTAATCTTAAATCAATATAACATTAGTTAAGTCTTTTTATTTACTTAAGTCTTTTTTACTTAAATCATGATAATCTGGAAGTTAAGTCCGTACAATGACTTAAATCAATATAATTTCCCTCCCCCCAAGTCAAGACAAATTTTATTGTATTACCCATTACCGATTTTTTTTATTATCTATATTTATTGTAGATACAGATTAGAATAAAATAATATATACATAACTATAATAAACAATAAATAAATAAACGCATCAAGAACATAAAAACAGACATACAGGGTCCGGCAATAGTGCGTCGGGCATCTGTAGCTCCTAAAATAAAAAACTTCGGAATTTTGTTTAAGTGCAAACCTAAACTATGTACTAGGATGTATTCCAGGAAAATATTTTAACTTCTATAGGGTGGCTCAAAAAAGTGCGTGTGGATCGGGATGATTTTTTTTAAATGGAACACCCTGTATATTATTGCATTTTTGGCTTCCTTTCAGATCACTTTACATAATCCTAAGATATGAGTAAATATATTTTGATAATTTCAGAGATATTAATAAATAAATAAAAATTATATATTTTTCAGCCTTTCTTAAAAGAAATTATTAATAATACAAGAACTGTCCTGAAATCAAAACCATATTAGATATTTACTTTAGATGGTCTATACTTACTTTACTATAAATATGGAAATCGTAAATCATACAAGATGTTCAAAATTCGATGCCAAACTTTCTAAAATTAAAATAATTTTTCTTTGTGTTTTTTAAATGGAACACCCTGTATATTATTTTTTCAATAGATTGAGAATTAAAAAATGAACATTTTTTTGCAATTAGAGTATTTCAAAATTTTTAACGGTTTTGCAGATATTCCCGGTTTTGTATTTCATATGGCATTTTCCACAATAAATTTTTATCAGAGCCCCCCAATGATTTTCCTCGCGTATTTTACCATTGAAAGCGCCATATGAATAATACTGCGTGTATCCGGAAAACTATTAAAAATTTTGAAATACTTTAAATACAAAAAATGCTCATTTTTTAATTCTCCATCAAATAATTCCATTTAAAAAAACGAAGAAAATTTATTTTATATTTTTGAAAGTTTGGCGCAAAATATTGAACATCCTGTATGATTTACGATTACCATATTTATAGCAAAGTAAGAACAGACTATCTAAAGTAAATATCTAATATAGTTTTGATTTCAGAACAGTTCTTGTATTTTTAATATTTTTTTTAAGGGTTGAAAAATATATATTTTTGATTTATTTTTTAATATCTCTAAAACTATCGAAATAGATTTACTCATATCTTAGGATTATGTAAAGTGATCTGAAAGGAAGCCAAAAATGCAATAATATACAGGGTGTTCCATTTAAAAAAAATCATACAAAGATACGGTTGTCACAGTTGCTACTTTTTTATGAAACTAAAGATTAAACACATATTTGATGTCGCTGTTAAAAATTTTCGATAAAAATATATGACAAAAAAAGACTTTTATAAAAAGATTTTAATCTCATAAAAGACTTAAATCTTTTAAAAGTCTTTTGTAAAATGACGTAAGTCATTAAAAAAAGATTTAAATCTTTTTTAACGACCTAAATCTTTTCTAAAAAGACTTAAATCTTTTAAAAAGACTTACATTTTGAAAATGACTTAAATTTTAAGTCTTAAGTCAGCTTTCGAAATGACCTAAAATCAAATGATTTGTCATTAAAATGATTTAAGTAAAAAAAAAACTTAAATTTTCTGTGAGCTTGCAGCTCTGATTGTTAAGTAGGCATTTTAATTTATTTCTGAAAATGAAGATTCACAAGCTGCTGAAAAAAAATCGCACCCAATTTTAATATCAAAATACGAAATAGAGTATTTTTGTAAGATATATTTTGAGTACTGTATGAAGTTTTAAAAATAAAATCTTTTTATTAAGCTAAAAAGTACTTATTTTAATATAGTTAGATACTATCTTTTTTAAATTCATTAAAATTGCTAAGAATGTATAGGTATGTCCTGTTCCTCGACAAGATTGGTAAAAGTTGCATTTAAAAATGTTTGTTTAGTTCATAGTTTTAGTTTTAATCGGGATATTTTGGGGTCTTTAAAATGATCATTTCATTTTAAGACAATAAAAAAATACCCGCAAGGGGCCTATCTCATTCCCCATATAATTTTACATAGAAAGTGGCAACGATCTTCGATTTAAACACATTCTGACGTTTTTTTGGATAATATTTTGTGTTGTAGTAGTTTAGGCTTTCGCGGCCATCGTTTGAAGAATTTTGGTTTTTCGGGTTATTAGGCCGTCGTCGGTTAGAATTGCTTCCTAACGTTTCGCTAGCACGAGTGGCTAGCATCTTCAGAGGTGTGTTTGCTCCGATTGCTCACACTAGACTGATGCCTCCGCGTCGGCGTAGCGCGTATTTATGCGTCGGCGGAGGGGGCTGGCTTGTTCGGGTGGTAGTTCTTCCGGAACTGGTCTACTTCTCTGTGCTGCTACTTTGGTCCTAGATATAGCTGGATGCCAAATTCTGTTAAGGTAGAACGTTTCTTCCTTCCTGTTGAAATTATTTGGATGTTTGTGAATTTCAACAGCTTCTCTGACCAGACGAGGATGATATCCAGATGTTGTGGCAATGACTTGGGTGTCTTCGAATTGGATTTTGTGGTCACCATCTCTTAGAGCATGTTCTGCTACGGCTGACTTCTCTGTTTGCCCTAATCTGTAGTTTCTCTTGTGTTCCGTAAGTCTCGTTCCTACTGAGCGTTTGGTAGTTCCAATATATACGCTACCGCAGGAACAAGGTATACGGTAGGTATACGGTATTAGGAAGCAATTCTAACCGACGACGGCCTAATAACCCGAAAAACCAAAATTCTTCAAACGATGGCCGCGAAAGCCTAAACTACTACATTAAACGGCTCTACGGGGAGGAGCTATTCAGATTGTACCAACGCCTGGACAAGACACGGAAGCGAAAAGCTCACTTGCTATCATCGCTTGCTTTTCTGTGCCGCTGCCGAGACCAAAACGTAATACCAGGATTTCTCAAAATGAAGAGGGTATTCTCATCTACTCAGGCAAATCGCCTTTACACCAGGATGGAGAAAAATTTTCTTCGTGAGAGGATTCATACATCTAGACGAGACTTAGCAAAGGTAGACAGGGAATTGATCGACCTATTTTATATCCTTACCGCCAACATGCAACCTGTAGACTGGGACAAGATTGACGGAATAACATACCAAAATATGCAAAATGAATTGGAAAGAACATCAGCTCGCCAGAAGATCAAATATGAAAAACTGCAACCAAAAACCAAGCCGGAATATAGGATATCTCTTGAACCTGCTCGAACCGTGGTGAATCTCACAGATAAGACCCTTACGACATCAGAAGTAACATTATTAGCGAAGGGAGGAAACTTTGCCATAACACCGAAAGTGGTTCCAGTGGAAGACATTATTGCCGGAACAGAAGCTGCCATACGTAACCTTCCTAACAGTATCGCAGACGAAATCCGATTTGAAACGGTCAACATATTGAGAACTGCTAAGGCTCCAAAAAGTAATCTGTCTAGGGAAGAACATCAGGCTCTAAAATCGCTGAATGCTGACAAGGACATTCTGGTCTTACCGGCAGACAAGGGGAATGCTACGGTAGTAATGAAGTCTGAGGATTATAGGTCCAAAATCGAGGATCTACTGGAGCCCCAGACTTATAAGTTACTGAAGAAGGATCCTACTGCCTTAATTGTCAGAAACACCAACAGACTCATCAAGGCCTCCTCACTCCCGGAACATCTGAAATCAAAATTAATTAACTCGGAAGCTCAACCACCACGCCTTTATGGACTACCAAAAATTCATAAAGCTAGTGTCCCACTTAGACCGATAGTGAGTGCTCCAGGATCGCCTACTTACAACTTAGCTAAATACTTGACTACGATCCTACAACCGAAAGTCGGCAACACAAACTCTTATGTGAAGGACTCAACGCATTTCGTCCAAAAGCTAAAAGATATAAAACTGGAACCATCTGACATCATGGTAAGCTTCGATGTGGTATCTCTATTCACGAGAGTACCCCTAGGCGAGTCAATGGATCTAATCAAGGAATCATTCCCACCTGACATCGCGGAGCTCTTCCGAGTGTGTCTGACTGGTAGCTATTTCTTATGGAACGGCAATTACTACGAACAAACAGAAGGTGTCGCAATGGGTAGCCCAATCAGCCCAATAATTGCTAATTTCTTTATGGAGAGATTTGAAGAAAAAGCGCTAGAGTCATCCGTTCTGAAGCCCGCTGTATGGTTTCGTTATGTGGACGATACATTTGTGGTTTGGAAACATGGACGTGACAGCCTAGATGACTTCCTTCATCACCTTAATTCGCAGAGCCCGAGCATAAAATTTACCATGGAAACCGAAGTAAACAACCAACTGGCCTTCCTCGATGTGCTTGTCAAGAGAAATGGCGACCTTTTGGATCACACCGTGTATCGAAAACCCACTCATACAGACCGGTACTTACACAAACTATCAAATCACCATCCAAGCCAAAAACAGGGGATTATCGGAACATTAGCAAATAGGGCAAGACGTATCTGTGCTAATGAACACATCCAAGAGGAACTAAGTCATTTAAATAAAGCCTTTCTTGCCAATGGCTATAATGACAGAGAAATAAAGGCGGCGCTGGCACCTAGGCAGAGGAGACCTGACGCCAATGAACAGGAAAACATCATTAATAAGGCCTTCCTTCCATATGTTTCCCAGGTCACCGATAGGATTGGTAAAGTTCTCAAGAAGCATAACATCAAAACCATATACAAACCTACCCGAAAAATAAGGGACTGCTTAAGACCAGCAAAAGACAAAAGAGAACCATTATCCTCTGCAGGGATCTACCGTATACCTTGTTCCTGCGGTAGCGTATATATTGGAACTACCAAACGCTCAGTAGGAACGAGACTTACGGAACACAAGAGAAACTGCAGATTAGGGCAAACAGAGAAGTCAGCCGTAGCAGAACATGCTCTAAGAGATGGTGACCACAAAATCCAATTCGAAGACACCCAAGTCATTGCCACAACATCTGGATATCATCCTCGTCTGGTCAGGGAAGCTGTTGAAATTCACAAACATCCAAATAATTTCAACAGGAAGGAAGAAACTTTCTACCTTAACAGAATTTGGCATCCAGCTATATCTAGGACCAAAGTAGCAGCACAGAGAAGTAGACCAGTTCCGGAAGAACTACCACCCGAACAAGCCATGCCCCCTCCGCCGACGCATAAATACGCGCTACGCCGACGCGGAGGCATCAGTCTAGTGTGAGCAATCGGAGCAAACACACCTCTGAAGATGCTAGCCACTCGTGCTAGCGAAACGTTAGGAAGCAATTCTAACCGACGACGGCCTAATAACCCGAAAAACCAAAATTCTTCAATATTTTGTGTTATTCCGCAAATAAAATGTATGTATTGTTTTCACTTTTGCAACTAAATAGTCGGCCGACTAAAAATTACAGGTCAGCGCGTATAGGCTTATTGTATCGAATTTCCCTTTAGAGTATCCATACTATTTAAAATCGTAAGTCGGGGAATTCAAAGTGTCTTGTTTTTCAAATTAATATTTTTTTAGAGAATATGCGATAATTGTTTTGAGTAGTTTATATATAACAAACGTAGTTATTTTGTGAATAACTACATGTAATGCGTATACGCAAAGTTGCAGCAGATTGATATTTCTATCTTTTTTCCATCTTAAGAAATCCTTGAACAGCTTTGAATAAAAATATTTTTGTATTCAAAATATAATATCTACCCTTCATAATTCAAAGCCGACAATTTCAGGAATCCGTGTAATTCTAGTTGCATATTTTGTCACCTCAAAAGTTAATTAAAGTGTGCAAATCAGAGATATAGATATAGTCTATATCTCTGGTCCAAATGTATATGAACGTGTCCATTTAGCTGCTAGGGTTAATATAATATGACTAATCTGGACGGGACCTACTTTTTTTAATCGGGATATGAACCGCGGCTCTCGGCCTGTGACTCCTACTACTTACTAACTGACTCAAACTTATACTCACAACAGATTTTATCCAGCTGAATGCGTAATCATCTATCATTTCTCCATAAAGTTTAGTTTACAAATAAAGTTTACACTCTTCCCATGGAACTATCATTATTGCTATCTCTATTTTATAGCGAGTTATCAAACGTTCATCCGTCCATATCCCTACTGTACAATCTTCGCACTCACTGATCAGATAACAGTAGTAGCCAAAGATCTGCATATTCTTTATATCAAAAGAAGAATCTTAAAACAAAACCTCAAACACTGCTCAAACATCTGTGTCAAACATATTGAATAAATAATAAATATTCCCTATAATTTATTCTTTATTTATTCTTCAAAAGACTGCAAAGTTATGATTGCATTGCAGATCTGCTTCATTGTTTAATTAAATACGTATTGTGGAACAAGGTGCAGTTTCGACGAAATAAAAAGTGGCAAAAAATTTAATATGGCTAAGTTGGAGGTTGTTCAAATATTAACAAAAAAAGACAGTGGACGTATATGGAATGTGAGTTGGCATCCAAAAGGTGATGTTTTAGCTTCGTGTGGCGAGGATAAATGTATAAGAATATGGGCCAAAGATTTACTTGGTAAATGGACTAATAAGATTGTACTAACAGATGGACACAAACGCACTATTAGACAAGTTGCTTGGTCACCGTGTGGAAATTACTTAGGTATTTAATTCTATATGTGAAAATACATGTATACATTAGTCATATTTAATTTGTATCTAAATATATATTTTTTTAATATTCTAGCTTCAGCTGGTTTTGATGCTACTACATGTATATGGAGTAAACAAGATGGAGAATTTGAATGTAATGCAACATTAGAAGGCCACGAAAATGAAGTTAAAAGTGTAGCTTGGTCAAAATCAGGCCAATATTTGGGAACTTGCAGTAGAGACAAATCAGTGTGGATATGGGAAGTAGCTGAAGAAAATGAGTATGATTGTGCCGCTGTTTTGAATGCACATACACAAGATGTAAAAAAAGTTAGACAATTCTAAGTAAATAACACACTGTGCCATTAAATTATAGTATTATTTTAGATAATATGGCATCCCAAAAAGGATATCTTAGCATCAGCTTCCTATGATAACACTATAAAATTTTTTAGAGAAGATGTAAGTGATGGTGACTGGGTATGTTGTGGTACTTTGGTTGGCCATGATTCTACAGTATGGAGCATTAGTTTTGATGGTATGATTTTATTACAATTCATAAGTTGTAAACTATAACCACAGCATTTTTAGGAGACGGTTCCAGATTAGCTTCATGCAGTGACGATTGTACTATTAAAATTTGGAAAGAATATGTTCCAGGGAATCCAGAAGGGGTTGCAACTGTAGACAATGACTCCACATGGAAATGTGTTTGCACATTGTCTGGCCAACATTCAAGAACAATTTATGATATAAACTGGTGCCCTATTACAGGTAATTATAGTAAAATAAATACAGGTGGGGTTGGAACCTTTTGTGTTACAACAGTATAGCAAAATACTAATTAACTACAACACACAAAAGCTTTTCTTTTAACACTGCTGCCAAAAGTAGTTTTTGGTAGTATGGATGACTGTCTTATCAATTTTAATTTATTTTTAAGGTCTACTAGCAACAGCATGTGCTGATGATAGTGTTAGGATATTCAAAGAAGATGTAGGATCAGATTTAAGTGCACCTACATTTAATCTGATATGTAATGTAGAAAAAGCTCATAATGAGGATGTAAATTGTGTTTCCTGGAATCCAACAGCGAAGGGACTTCTTGCAACATGCAGTGATGATGGTGAAATCAAAATATGGAATTTTATTGACAATTAATCTTGTTTATTCTTTATAATTCAGCATTATACAATTTATTTTTTAGTATATATAATAAAGTACTATGGTTATTTATCTTTATGTAATTAATATTTAAAGAAATAATTCTTAAACCATCCCTTAGATATAAATAATACTGATAAATGTGTAGATTATTGTGGAGAAATATGTAACTAGCATACTTTTATTTAGATACATTTCTAACTGAATGTAATGAAAGAATATCTATTATGTTTAAGGTTGTCTATTTTTACTTATATTTGACATAATTAAAAAGCTATAGTCAAGAATCATTTGATTCTTATATAAGGAAGTGAGCAACAATTCAAAGCCACATCTTTCAAATTAGCTTCATGCAAGTCAGATCAGAACGATTACAATTCTGAAAAGCAATCAGAAAAAGTTACTAATCATTTACCTAACTGGAATTATGAATATAAAATAATACCTTAAATCTGCTCTGTCAAATACAGTTACCCTCAAATGACAATTTTTTAGAATTGCGTTTTTAACCATCAACGAATTGTTTGACTCATATGTAAGGGTGTGAGCATCAGTTCAAATGCGGCATCTTTTAAATTAGCACCCCTTAAATTAGCTTCGTGCAGATCACTTCCAGAAAGATCACAGTTCTGAAAATAGACCAGAAAGTCAACATTATTTATTTAAATCTAATTAATATAAAACTGTACCTCTAAATCAGCTCCTGCAAGAACAGCTGCTCTTAAATCACAATTTTTTAAATTTGCATTTTTACAGTTTGCAATACGAAGGTTTACCCCGCCCATATCGCTATCTTCCAAACAGGCACCTTTTAAATTGACTCCTTCAAGATTTGCCCTCTGGCCACCTGGATCTTTGAAATTACAGTTTTTCATAGATGCTCCTTCCATTGTTGCTCTTAAACCTTTAATACCTATAATAGTATTTTTGAATTAAACAGAGTTAGTTTGAATTATTATCAAGTACATATGTTATTTAAAATTCAGGTCAATATTTCTACCTAAAAGTTGAGCATTGTCTAACAAAGCATGCGATAGATCAGCTCTTTCTAAACAACACCAACTTAAGTTGGCCCCTGACAGGTTACATCCCTGCATATTAGCATACTTAAAATTTATATAGCCAAGATCAAGTTTACTAAGATCAGCTCCTGATAAATTTACACCTTGAAATCTCAATTCAGATTTTTTTGTGCTTCTGATCAAAGCATCAATTACATCTCTGCGTGTTAGGGGAGCGTTATCTCTTGATTCTTTATTAACATTTAATTCTTGTTCTAAAATTGGTACAATTGACTCAATACCAAAAAATCTTGCTTCTTCTAATATTCCTACTGGATTAATGTTTTTATCATAAATTAATTGGCCACATCTGAGATAATTTAATATAGGCTCAAAATATGTAGGACTTCTGTCTATTAAATATGCCCCGTTTTTATCCATACTACTTGGATGAAACAAACAATTTTCATCTGAGAACATTCTTGCTAACATGCTGGTTGGTTCACTTGCGATCAAGGTTCTTTTTGAAGTAGTAAAATATTTTCCTCCAACATTTAATGTAACCCAATCTGAATCTGAATGTGATGAACTACACAAAGGTTTTATAAAATCATCACCATTTGAAATATAAATTTTATCAAAATTCTTTATTAGTTCAAAATCTAGTATTTCTGAACCATCTTCGCTAAATATGCGAATTTCAGTTTTTGGGTCATCTATGAGGGAAGTAATTTTCCCATAAAATTCTTCTAACTTATCAGGGCATTGGAAAATCTAAAATAGATCTAATTTAATTATTTCACTTTTTTATGGCTAGTGGTACTTACAAGTGGTCCAGTATGTACACCATTTCTATAAACAGTAATGTTTTTGAGTACACTCATTTCATTTAAAAATCGGCCTTTTTTATGCTCAATAAGATGAAGAAAATTATTAAGTAATTGTTTATCAATTATTATGACACCAAATGTGTGATGTTGATGTAAATCTAAAGTGTAATTTGTAATTCTAATTTAGGTGAAGCTTTTTACACAGTTTTTTGAAATCCAGTTTCAATAAAAAAAAATTGTCACCATCATAAGAAACATGGTTAGGTTGACAATGTTGACATGTTACTGTGCTCTTGCTGTGCTCGGATTGGTCAAATTCATGTCAAATTATGGCAATAATTTTAGATGTGTCAAAAAACAGCTGTTATGTGATTTTGTGCTTACAATTTTTAGTTTTGAGCTCTGATTGGAAAGTTTTATTTATTAATTATTATTCTTTTTAAATATGGATAATATTAATATTAAAAAAACAAAAACGGAAGGTGAGTTTATGTTGCAAATATACACTTATAGTCATATACAAGGCTTATAGATACAGTAGATCAGAACGTTTATATTAACATAAGCCAATACCAATTTAATTTTATGTGTGCGAGTTTATAAAAATTGTGTAAAAATAAATTCTTTATGGTTTTTAACGTCTACAATAGCTTACAAATATCGTTTTTAAATATAGGAAAATAAACAACTTGGTGGTTGCCTACTTTTGTTTATATTCTTTAAGCCCCGTTCTCAGAACTGCGTCGTGTCGACAGCGACACTGATTGACACTTCAAACGACCAATGGGAGCTGTACTAAATTTAAAATTGACAGCTGTTTGAATTTTGTACAAATCTCATTGGTCCTCTTGACGTGTCGCTGGCGACAGTCGCTGTTCTGAGAACGGGGCTTTACATGAAAGAATTGAAAGTTATGAAAGTTCAAAACATAACCTATTTTTCTGAACGTGTTTTCGCGATTGTTTCGTCTGTTTAAGAAATGCTTAAAATTTCGTTTTGAATAGATTTAAAATACAAATTCTCAAAATGTTACGTCGTCAAGCTCGTTTACGTCGTGAATATTTGTATCGTAAAACAGTGGAAAGTCGACAAAAGGCTATACAAGATAATAAGAGTAGAGTAAAGAAGAGTTTGGATCAAAACACTTCCATACATGGTGATTTACAGAAGAAAGCTCTACATTATTCGAAAAAACTTGAATGGGAAGACGCCGGACCTGAGCAAGCAGTATTATTGGGTGGGGAAAGTGGAGGTGCAACAGCTAATTCACAAGATGATGAATATCGGTATGCCGGAGTTGAAGATCCAAAAATTGTTCTTACCACATCAAGAGATCCAAGTGCTCGGTTAAAAATGTTTGTTAAAGAACTAAGATTAATTTTTCCAAATGCACAAAGAATGAATCGTGGAAATTATGAAATGAAGCAGCTTATTAATGCATGCAGAGCCAACGATGTGACTGATTTTATTGTAGTGCATGAGCACAGAGGTGTACCAGATGGATTAGTTATTTGTCATTTACCATATGGTCCTACAGCTTATTTTAACATGTCTGATGTTGTAATGCGACATGATATTCCTGATATTGGCACCGTGTCAGAACAGTATCCCCATTTAGTATTCCATAACTTTAAGACAAAACTGGGAGAAAGAACAATGAGTATTTTAAAATATCTATTTCCAGTACCTAAAGAAGACTCGAAGAGAGTAATAACTTTTGCAAATCACGATGATTATATTAGTTTTAGACAACATACTTACAAGACCGTCGATAGACAGGTAGGTTTATAAATTATTCTGTGAGTTAAAGAAATTTCAAAATGGATTTTCATTTTCAGATCGAGTTGTCAGAAGTCGGTCCACGTTTTCAACTGAAGTTATATGAAATTAAACTAGGAACTCTAGATACTGCTGACTCTGCAGATACAGAATGGGCTTTAAGACCTTACATGAATACTGCAGTTAAAAGGCGGTTTTTGAGTGACGAGGATGGATGGAAACAAGATGACGAAATTACAACATAATTTGTTTATTATTTATTAATAATTTAAGTTTTATATTGAAAATTGATTGTAAAATTATCCAAATGAAATATATTAATTTCTTAAAAATATATTCTAATTTAGTTTTAATCATGTCCATCAACATTAAGAGCTGAACTTTTTAAAAAATAAAACATTTTATTTTCTGGTATATATTTTCAAAAATTCTACATTGTTCTGTTGTGCTTGCTAAGATTCTTCAGAGCATCACAAATTTACAGTTATTTTTTATATTGGGAAATGTAGTGGATGTTTTGGAAAAACATAAATGTTAAAATAGGTAACTTATAAAATTATGAATAATTTGGGAAAAACAGTGGCAAAACTAATAAATACAATAAATCTGGAATATAAAAAAATGTGCATTGATGTCTAAAAACTTATATTGGACACACATAGAAAAGTTCTAAAGGAATCAAAGCTCTTCATATATGAATAATGTTCAAATTATGGCATTCGTTTAAATGAAAATAGACATTCTTTTAACAAAATTTTGATCATTTACACGCCCTAAATAGCTATTGTTTAAGAATCAATTAGTCCTGAATAACTCACGTCTTTTGAATATGTTTTCAACAGGTTGTCAGTGATGTGCCTATAATGTAACAGCATTATTTGTAAGTTTAGCTTTGTTGCCTGAAGAAGCTGGTGTCTTTTTGAAAATGTATAGTGGAAAGGAAAATATACACGTGACCTAATTTTTCATAAGTAATTTTTCATAAGTTTGTTTTGGAAGCATCGCCTGAATCATACAATACAATGTACAACATACATTTCTTTCTAGATTTAGAAGTTACAGGGGTCTCGAGAAGCGGTAGAGTTAGAAAGAAATCATCTAAATTGATGGATTTTGAATCTCCAGATGAAATAGAAAGGAGTTATGGTAAGAGACAACAATCAGTACCAATGAAAAGGGATAACTTTGAAAATACTCCTACAAAAAAGTCCTCTAAGTTTGATGATGTATGTGAATTTGCTTTTTCAGTAACTTAACTACTAATTCGTAAAATATTTTTTAGTCCTTCATGAAAGACACAAGTCAGTATGACAATTTAATGAATCAAGAAGGTATGAGTGATTCTGAATATGGCAGTGAGTACGAACAACCAGCTACTAATACTACAGAATCTAGCGTTGATGAATCTGTTGAATCTGACAGTGATTACGATGATTCAGAAGAAGGATTTAAGAGATTAGATTCTTCCAAGAAGAAGCAGGTAGTTATTAAAGATGGAAAAATTATGAAGGGAGATAAACTGAGGGGTAAAGATAAAGGTACATTTCATAAACTGGTAAAACATATTAATACTAATTGACATTCTTAAAATATAGAAATTGGCAGCAATTTAAAGCTTTCACCAAAAAGTGGTTCAAGAACTCCAAAAAGAACAACAAAACCATTATCTGGTCCATTGGCTGCTTTTCAACCAGGCGTTACTAGTACTTATGAACCCACTAATATTTCACCACCAAGTCCAAGAAGCAAAGATACATATAAAGTTAATGGTATTAAGCCTATAGATGTTGCAGCTCATTTAAAATTACTTGGTGAAAGTCTTACAATCATTGGCGAACGACTTAAAGAACACGAGGTAAAGCAATTAAATAGATTTTAACAAATTTCTGAGTAATTTTTGTTACAAATATGTACTTGCATCAAAAATGTTTGAAGATTACTTTCCTAGTCTTTTGACATACAAAAAATTACACAGGATTGTTCATTATAGATAATATAAAAACATATACAGGGTGAGAACGAAACTGTAGTAGAAAATTTGATTACATTTTACGAAACTAATTTCGAATTGGTATATTGGTATTCAACTCAGCAAAATAAAACACTAAAACACTTTTGCTAGACAATACACCAAAACACTTTTGCTTTTACACTGGACGCGCGTTTCGCTAACTATGTTCTAACTGTTACGCTCAGTGGGCTCTGACTCGGTTGGCTAGATTTTGCCACGCCCACTCGGTGCCTGCTGAGCGAGTATATAAACGCTCAACTTGTAGATTGTACTTTAGTTTATAATCATCTGCTGATGATGCTAACATGGTTAGCGAAACGCGCGTCCAGTGTAGAAGTAAAAGTGTTTTGGTGTATTGTGGTGATTTAGTGTTTTATTTTGATGTGTAACACCAAAGGTTCCAACCCTCAACTGTAATATTCAACTCTCCAAAAAAATCCTATATGGGTATTTCGCCGCAAGAAAATTTACAAAATAAAATAGTTATTTTTTGTAAACACTTCTGCGTTAAACCCAAACGGACACTACATGTCAGAAGGTATGTTTACAGTTATACAAATTTGCCTAACAAAGAAAAAAATGCTTAACGTTTCGGAATGTTTATCTCTTTCCGTCGTCGGAAGCAAAAAAATATAAAGAATTTAAAATATTTAAATTCAACTATTCGAGAACACTTTACTTTTTTAAAACAGATACGTCTACAAGGAACCGTTGACGTTCTGTTTTTTTAGCGGTTTCTTGTAGACGTATCTGTTTTAAAAAGTAAATTGTTCTCGAATAGTTGAATTTAAATATTTTAAATAGCTTTTTTCATTATTCTTTGTATTTTTTTGCTTCCGACGACGGAAAGAGATAAACTTTCCGAAACGTTAAGCATTTTTTTCTTTGTTAGGCAAATTTGTATAATTGTAAACATAACTTCTGACAAGTAGTGTTCGTTTGGGTTTAAAGCTTGATTTTTATGCATCCGTTGTCCGACGATACGATGATACGATATTAATTTTATTGGTTGAATTTAAAGCCTTCGATTGGTTAACCGTTTCTAACCAATCAAAGTGTTTAAATTCAACCAATGGAGAGATGAATCCGCCACATAGATATAGGCATTTTTTATTGGTATTCAAATTATACTCCTTGAATGAAAAGTCAGATTTTTCATTGAAAAATAATGGAATCTTCCAATTTAACCATTACATAAGCAATAAAAATTAAAAGGCACCTTTTTTATTTTATTACAATTTACAATAGAGCTTAAAATTTTCTTTTAAACCTATATCACAAGTAGCTATTATTTTCTTCAAAATAATAGTAACAAATATTCTTCTACAGGCAGCTAGTGATATTTAATTGTTTTAATTTATTTTTAATGGAAAATATGGATATTATGAACTATGTTTTCAAGCTCAAATTCAAATTTATTTGATAAAAAGAATAAAAGCCAAATGCCTAGAGTACCTAAGTGGTAGATAGTTTTCCCGAATACATATAATAATATGAACAATATTTGCAATCTTGTTTTTTTATATATTGAAATTTTTAGGGACAAATTGCTGTATCTGGAAGTCTATCTGTTTTATTAGATTCTCTCCTTTGTGCTCTTGGGCCACTAATATGTTTAACACAACAGATACCAGAATTACAGGATAACTGCTGCAGTCCAGAAGAACTATTGAGTACTTTGGACAATGTGGCATTTATAATGCCAGGACTTTAAAATTAAAGTAAATACAGTATTATTCACTTATATTAATAAAAATAACCAAACTTCTGTTTGATCTAACGTTCTTGGTAAATAAAAAATGAAATAGTTGAAAAATGTGTATTTCCTGATTTTTACAAATAAAATGTTATATATGACCTTTAAGATTATAAAATGTAGATATGAACTATCGACTTCGCGTGTTGATGAATATTAGAAATCTCTCTAATACTAACAAATGCCTCCTTGTTTCTAAAACAAAGAAAATAGGACATAAGCGCTTGCTGAATTAAAAACGCTTTTTAGGTTTTATGCCGATTGGGTGATTAAAACAGTGTGCTTTACAGGGATCGTCATATTGGCATTCTCCATCTTTGGGTTTCCAGTGTTTACAACAGGGCCTTTTACAAGGTCCTGGTTGATATCTACTTACTTTTTTCTTTGGTTTTGGTGGACAAGGCTGTACCTCAGCACACCATACTCCACATGGATGACAGTCATTTGGAGGGGATAATTTCATTGTACATGGTTTAAATCCTGGAAAAGCAGTTTCATTTTAGAGATGTTTGTTGTGTCTTATACTAAGGGCTGGCAAAGGTTAGACTTGGGTAGAGATTTCCGTATGTAAGAAGAGTACAATGGCCTTTATAATGTGCTGAACAAAGAGAGAACAGTAAACACGTTGCCAAACGTACGAACTAAACCGTGAAACTGCGCATATTGCTAAGAGACATGGGAAGGGGATATAGCAGATTTGTCGCAGTCCACCGGTCGACCCAGTCACTACCTCTGTCAGTACATGGTCAGTACTTAAAGTTCTAGGGAAAGGTGTACATCATGCGTTCAGCTTCACGATTTAATTACGTCTCGCGATACTTTATTTGTTTATTTATTAACGAGTCATTGTAATTTTCCCTATAACATGAAAATTTTTAAGTGCAAGTCAGAAACACTTGCATTTTTGGTAAAACTAAGTGGAATTGAGTTGGTGTTCGACAGTGGTCGCGCTATTAGAACTCTTACATTTCTGCTATATTTTCTTCGCAGACAATATGTGAAAATCTTTATAAATAAAAAAGTTTACACGATTGCTGAAAATTGCTATGCACTAAAAGTAAATGGATGGGTTGTTTAAAATTTTTGAATGGATAAAAACAACCTCATCGAGTTTTTCTTATTTAAATATATTGTAAAAGATCCGATCTTCAAAATAAAAAAAAAGTTTCAATACCTATCTAAAATGGTTTTTAAGTTATGGCGTGTTATGTGTTAAAAATTTGAGTTTTTAAATTATCGCGATTACTGACGTTTTATCGTTATAAAAAAATGGACACCCTAACAATATCCTTATAATCCTATTTCAGATGCTCAGAAACATATCTAATGATTTTATCTAGTTATCTTTTCGAAAAAAAGTCGTTTAAAAATAAGCGGTTATTTTATTTTACCTGATAGGGAAAGGCGTACCGGCAACGCCGCAACAGCACACCGTCGCATTTATCTCACTCCGACTTAATAAGATCCCTATGCGATTTACTTCCACACATGTAAGTACCGACCCAAGAGTAACAGTTGCCAGCACGGTATGAATTAGTGTACTTACCTGTTGGACAACCCTTATCTTCTTCGACTGGTTTCTTTTTGTCTGGACAACAAGGGTTTTTGCCGTCGGTGGTTACACCTGTACATCGCTCAGTTCGTGGATCTGGACAGGCTCGAGAAGCGTTTCTACTCTCCGCGTGCCAGTCTATGTTATAATTGTTATAAAAATTCGCGTATCTTGTTCGTTCCGCCTCTTCTTCAGATATGTGTGGCTAAAACATATAAATAAATATCTAAAATGTTACGTCTTCAAAAAATTGTACCCCATCTTGAGCAGAAACCGGACATGGCAGTTGCAGGGGTTTTACAGGCTGGGGTACCGTTGGTGCCATTATTGGCGGTGGACAAACCATACAGCATGTAACACATGGTTCAGTAGTGGGCGGACACTCTACAGAACCTCCACTATAATTTTTGAATATAGTTATTATCAATGTATAAACTTCTGGTATTATCACTTACCCATTTTCATATTGGTCAAGCAAATTTTTTATTTGGGAGACTAAATCACCACAGGCCATTTTAAATCACAATGAATTTACTGAAGAATTGCGAACGAAATGTTTAACTGAAGATTTTACGACCACAAAAAAAATATGAAAACGTCACAATAAATTTTTATTTATCAAATTTTGTTTTGTTTAAAAATCAAATAGTTAAAAAAATAGCTATCTATGAAAAACAAGTTTGTTTTAGCAACCGTCACTTAAACAGCTTCTAAAATATTTCGGCAACAAAATTCAAAATTATAAGTGAAATTATTCAAGAAAAAACTCTAAAACATTTAAATAATTATGTCTTGTTGTCCTCCCGCTTGTTGTCCTCCCGCTTGTCCTCCCGCTTGTCCTCCCAAGCGCCCTCCGGCGTGCTGTGTCCCAACATGTTGTCCTCCAGTATGTTGTAGGCCTAGCTGCGCACCTTGCTGCGTTCCATGTGTGTACGTGCCTTGCTGCCTGCCCTGCCCTAGCCCTTGCCAAAGCCCTTGCCCCTGCCCTAGCCCCTGCCCTAGCCCTTGCCCTTGCCCTCCAAAGGTAAAATTTATATTTCTTTTACAAATCACAAAACTCATCAACTATTTTTATTATTTACAGTGCTGATGAAGGTGCAACAACCCAACTGAAAAGCGTGTAATAAAAATTGAGGACATTATGGCTTGTATAATAATTTTAATGTTTTCATAAAAAATAAGTATGTGAACTTTCTAAAGTAATAAAGACAATGTATGTTAAATATCCTTTTAAGGGTCTTATTTTTCCATATTTAATTAAATTGACGTATTTAGGCATGCCGTAAACGGGCCTGACATAAAATACAACGTAAAAAATTGCCTCTTTATAGGAGAAAGTCTGATATAAACCATTGTAGTTATTTCGGTTAAGTATAGCCATTTTTGTGAGTAAATTTCCGAAGATATCACACATCCCATATAATATATGGGGATAAAATTATTGATGAATACTTATATTATTTGTATTCATCTACTGTGCAGTCTCTGACCTTTTAAATTTACTTCCCTCTACGATTCTTTTAGGTATACTTTATGCTCACCACATGTTAAACTTATTTATTTTTAAAATACAGTTTTAGAATATTTTTGGTCGAATTTAAGACTGGAATAAGCTTTTGTCCACATTGTGTAGCAAGTAAAATACAAAATAAAATTAAATATCCAAATATTTATTTCATAACGTAAAACAACACAGCGCACAAAACATTTTCTTAAAAACAGTTACACAGTAGCACAGACAGTAGGTATATGGTTACATTTAACATGATGGGCAACCATTTCCGTTTCCATTGCCTTGTGGAGGGCAAGGACAACACGGTGTTACTACAGGAACATAAACACAGGCCTGGGGTACACAAGGTACTTCTATCGGCTCACAAGGACAAGGCGGTGGAGGAGGACACGGACAAACACTAACGGGGAGACAGCAGCTCGTTGGATAGCAAGGCTCGCAAATGCTGCCGAAATTGTTTTTGCTATTTCCATTGCATCCCGACATTTTTAGGGCTTTTTTACTAAAATTTTGAATAAGCAGATCCGAAAAAGTATACTTCAAATTTTGACAATGTTATTTTGTTTACTAGATACCACTAGATACTCTGCTAGATACCAGGTGATACATCTCGATTATTATGATCACATTTATTGTTATTGTATACAGGGTGCGATACCTTAAAAATTCAGGAATCTTAATTGCTTCATTTTGGCTATATGCTATAGATATACAGATTGTTTCAAATGTGCCATCTCTCGTACGGAAATTCCTCTCGTAAAAATAAGATTTATTTTTGATATTAACATATAGGTCCGATTCTGCTTTGTTTTGTGGCTATAAGGGGTCAGTCTTTATATTTTTTCGAGTTATTATAATATTTTTCCAATTGATTGTAGCGATTTGAATGAAATTTTAAGGGTAAAAGTTACTATAAGTGCAACATATTTTAATATTAAAAAAGTGTCGGCATGCGGCATATTCACCAGGGATATGCGTATGAGTTGTCACTGGCTTTTTTTTCTAAAAAACGAATATGTACGCCAATGACTTTTTCCTTTTGTTAGCAAAATTGCCTAAACTGAATAATTTCCTCCATACCCTCCATATACTCTCGATAGGTATATTATAAACTAGTTAATACTTTCAATCCAAATATAAATAGTAAAATAAATATATCCAGTTTAGTTTATTTCTTCGGCATTTGACAAAAATAATTTGAAATCAGATTTTGTTAAATATTTATATATTACAGTTACTTAATGTTACAAAAATACAAAACTTAGACGTCACAAACATTGGGAATAACTTCACAGATTAGTAAGCAGTTCATTAGCAACAGTTATTCTTAGCATTGTCGTGATTATTTCTAGAACTCCTCCCATTACCATTACAGTCGGAACGGTTGTTTCCATTCCCATTCACATTCTTAGCACAAGGATCACAACAAACACTGGGACAGGGACAAAAATTCACAAACATAGGCTGTCCAGGCAGTTGACTATAGATTATCTGTTCTGGCATACCCGGCAAACAGTATGGAACGTACTGAATAGGATAACAGATTGGAGGATCTTCTGAACCCATTTTAATTCACTAAAAATTTTGAAATTAAAACCAAACTGAAGTTAATTTTTAGATATTTAAATTATTTTGCAAATTGTGTTTCTATGGTTTCACATTTTCTTTTATCTTTCAAGTTACTAGATTGAAATTTTGACGTTTTTCATAGACAGTTATTAATCAAATTTTAATTTATCTTTTCCTCAAAATTTCCAGTTTTTTTAATTAGAAATGAACTGCCCACCACCTGCTTTTGCTCCTTGTGCCCCTGCATTGGCCAGACCTTGTTGGCAAATACCTTATCCCTGTCCTGCTCTTATGGGAGACATTAAATATGTCTTAAGGCCCTGCTGTCCCCCATGTGGAGGTGTTGAAATACCATTACCAAATTATAATCCACCAAAGGTAATGTTGAATTAAAGTATATTTTTTGTATTCTCAATAAAAAATATATTTTTATGTTGCAGTGTTAAGAAAAAAATGTTTATTATTTCATTTGAACAAAAACAACGGTACCATTAATTTTATAGAAATACACAAGGTTGTAAATAATTAACTGCCAGTTTAAACCAAAGAATATACCTAGCTAGGTTTAAACTAGTATTGGATTTAGTCAAGTTATCTTAGATATGAAATGGATATGAATTACTGTCAGTAACCATAGCAAGTATTAGAACTTTCAAAATTCTGTAAAAAAATAATTTGGCTAAATATTTCTAAATTTTTAGTGAAGAAACTCGTTTAAAAAACAGAAAACTACACAAAACTATCTAATTTAACTGAAGCCTATATTAATTTAAACAAAAATGGCGGATTGTTGTTGTCCTCTTACTGGGGTTGCCTGTGTACCATGTACTCCGCCACCTGCGGTGGCTTGTGCACCACTTGCCCAACCTTCTACCCCTGCGACGTTAATCTATATTCCCATGGTGGTACCCTGTCCATGCCCATGTCCTTGTTCTTGTCCGCCATCTCCCTGTTGCCCGAGCAGATGTTAATGTAAAAAAATAGTTTAAATCAAGTAAGGAGTAAATATTGTATGTACGATTTTACGTTTGTGAAACTACAATGTTGTTTATAATCTGTAATAAAAGCTGTTATTTAAAGTTTATGTTATTGTTTATTTGGTAATTCTACAGAGCAAATAAACATACATTTTTTTTTTGTAATGAACGGTTTAACTAATGTTTGTTAAACTTATTTTCATAATGTACCTATCTTTTAAATAAGGTTTAAATAAAAGAATGTTTAAATCTTTCTGGCTGGCTGTAAACAAAAATGTATTTTTACTGAAACAAATGCAAAATAAAACACTAGTTTACTACAATACATCAAAACACTGTATCACTGGTATATTTTTCTAAAAAAATCATATACTCCACTGACTTTTTTTTTTGCATGTGGTAATAGTGTAAGCAGTTTAATTCCAATTAAAAGTTGTCTCTTGATATTTTGTCGATTTGGCATGAGATAAAGGCAATTTTATTAATTTTCCTTGATACAAGTCTAATAGCAACCTTTAAAAAATTTGAATATCGTTAACTTGCGAAAGTTTTAAATAAGTAAGTACTCATTGCTTACTCATCAAAAAATATGAAAAAAAGTTCCTATAAACATGGATATGGACATGCATAGTTTTAGAGTTACAGGATGTTAAACATTTTAAAATTAGTTTTTTTTGTAATAATTAACTTAAATACCATTATTTTTTTATTTGAATTTTTTGGTTGGACTAATAGTAAAATTATTTAATAATAAATTAGCTAAAATATATAATTTATTAACTTTATTTTAATTTAATTAATTAAATTGTGATTAATAAAATAGCGTTTATCTCATCAAGGAGGCCAAATTCGACAAAATGTCAAGAGATAACTTTTAATTGACATTAAACGGCCTGCACAATTTTGATATCAAAAGAAGAAAGTCAGTAGCGGACATGTTTATTTTTTAAAAAATATTCCAGTGATAACCCCTATGCACGTCCATGATGAATTTATCGACACTTTTTTAACATTAAAATATGTAGCACTCACAATAATTTTTACCCTAAACATTTCATTCGAATCTCTAAAAGTACTTGGAACAAAATTATAAATTGAAAGATTATTAAAACTTTAACGCCCTGTAGCTACGAAACAAAGCAGAATCGGACCTATGTTGATATGAAAAATAAATCTTATTTTTAGGTGACGAATGTTTTTGAAACACCCTGTATATTCGTATCTTAAATATATAAAAATACTAAAATATTTTGGAAGTAAAACACAAAAATATTTTTAATAATGTATTTTATATCTTCACAACATTTAAAATCACAGTTGATAAACTTATTAAATCTAAAACATACTGGTATGAGAATGTTGAAATAAACCATTAACAATACATTTTGGAATTTCTATATCTACAGTTTTTGTAAAACTTTGAGGTCGTTTAAATAGCCAAAATAAACTGACGTTTAATTATCAATAAATAATAAGAAATTGTAAAACGAAAGTAAATATATATACTTGATTATTTCCTATATGTAATACAGAACGGTTTTCCAACTTGTCTTTATTATAAAGGAACAAAAGATGCATTTTTATTCTGTATCCGAATCAGTGATATACTCGTCGCTGAACGTAAAAAATCTGTTGGGTAAAAGATTAGCAGAACCCATGCATATTTCAAAAATATTATTGCTATCCCTGAGATAAGATTTCGTTGTATGCGACGTGTCGTATGAGAGAACCCACACTTTATTGCCAGCGAATCTGGGAAACTTTGCTGTGGGGGTTGTAAGTTGCTCTTTAGCTAAAAATAATTTATCTTTAGTTTTAGGATCAATAACGTCGAAGGCATCTGTGGTTATATTCCATGTAAACAAGAAGCGTGCCCAGTAGTTCTCAACTATCGAGTTCTGTACCATCGATTTAAGCGCTCCAATTTTGATTACGGCTTGGCACAGTATTATACCATTTAGTGGGCAAACCTGTAAATAAATTTATTTCGTTACTTACAAGCTTTTATATAATTTAATGGTAGTTCTTGTATGTGTAGTACGAATTTAAACCAGTCATCCTTAATGATTGAGATACAATTTCACACATACGTTTTGGCTTTTGATATAATGCCTAGATAGCTCAGTGACATCTAGAATTGTAAGCGAGAATGTTCCCATTCGTGACGAGAGAACGTTCCTATATAGACTTGGTGTATTTCAGTTGATTTCAAAAAATTCCGACCGTAGTGCCCTATCGGAAGAAATCCTAAATTTTCGCTATGTATTTCACGCCGTCCCGGTTAATGTTCATGTTGATCGCATTAAAATAATATTGAAATCGTGGCTTTGTCATAATATTTAAGTATTTTGGTTTTTTGCTAGTGCAGCTATTGAAACTATAAAACACTCAGGAGGTTTGCGTGGTGTAATGACAATTTCAAATGTTAATAAAATTACTGAAAAAATGTTAAAGCGTAACGGAGGGTGTAATTACGTGGTTGTTGGGTGCAATGACATTCAATAACTCAACTTTCCCGGATATTCAACTCTCCCGAAACAACATTTTATAACTTAACAGCTTCTCACACCGATTTGATCAAAAGCAATAATGGATACAAGCAGTTCGACAAAAGAAGTGAGTAAACAAAGTGCCAATTACATATACTAGGAGAGACCGTAGTTGAACTCATTTAAAAAGTTTTATTAGCTTCAATAATAAATTATAATACAAGCTAGACCTTCTGATGATATCCAAATATTTACTTAATATTTTTTTTAGAACTTTCACAAATTATACTTTATTAACACTTTTAGTATAATTATGTAAACCTTTTTTCGTATACTCGTTATTTAACCATTAACAATATATTACATACAATTACATACAAGGAGGATAAATAACCTGAGATACGCGGATGATACCGTAATTATAGCCGCCAGCAAAAAAAAGTTGCAGGAAGTCGATGCTTGTTGACCGCCTCTGCAACAACCAACCTGATGTCCGAACCGTGGCTGGATACGACGTTGTGAACCAGTTCAAGTATTTAGCATGATATCAAACTCTGGAGGATGCGAGGCTGAAATCAGGCGCAGAGTGGCAATGGCGAGGAATGCAATAACAAAGCTGACTAAGATGGAAGACTTCAGTAATCACCCGAAAAACTAAATTGCGCATTGTGAACTCCCTCATTTTCTCCATAGCTACGTATGGCTCTGAAACATGAGAAACACTAAAGGAAAGTGAAGCAAAAGATACAAAATAAAAACACTAAATCACCACAATACACCAAAACACTTTTACTTTTACACTAGACGCGCGTTTCGCTAACCATGTTAGCATCATCAGCAGATGATTATAAACTAAAGTACAATCTACAAGTTGAGCGTTTATATACTCGCCCAGTGGGCACCGAGTGGGCGTGGCAAAATCTAGCCAACCGAGTCAGACCCCACTGAGCGTAACAGTTAGATTTCCGCCATTAGAGTAGCAGGAACAAAGAACTTGAAGGAATTGGACCGTTGTCTCTGTTCATACTATCTTTACATTTATTAATTCTGATGTTTCCATATGCATCTAATTGCCTGTAATTTGAGACTTGTTTAATTAATTTTAAATTATTAAGATCTATACAATGTTCTTTATCAACAATATGTTCGGCAACGCAAGATTTATCCGGTTTACCATATCTTATCTGAGCTAAATTTTCTTTAAATCTAGTTAATATTGATCTTCTAGTTTGCCCAACATATTTCTCATTACAATCTTTACAAGAAATTTGATAAATACCCGACCTTTCCAGTGGAGGTGTTTTATCCTTTGGATTACCTAATAATTGTTGTAATTTATTATTAGTACTATACACAAGTTTATAATTGACATTCTTAAAAATTCCTTTTAGACCACGGGATAACTCTCTATCCAACGGTATCGAAAAATATTTAAACGTATCTTTCTCCAATTGAAAAGTCGAATTTTCAGAAATCATTAACCTATACCTACGTTTTCTAAGGAGAATATCCATTACACTCAACTACATTACCTCTCCTTCACTAGTTGATAAATTAATTAGAAAACGTAGGTATAGGTTAATGATTTCTGAAAATTCGACTTTTCAAGTGGAGAAAGATATGTCTAAATATTTTTCGATACCGTCTGATAGAGAGTTATCCCGTGGTCTAGAAGGAATTTTTAAGAATGTCTATTATAAACTTGTGTATAGTGCTAATAATAAATTACAACAATTATTAGGTAATCCAAAGGATAAAACACCTCCACTGGAACGGTCGGGTATTTATGAAATTTCTTGTAAAGATTGTAATCAGAAATATGTTGGGCAAACTAGATCAATATTAACTAGATTTAAAGAACATTTAGCTCAGATAAGATATGGTTGACCGGATAAATCTTGCGTTGCCGAATATATTGTTGATAAAGAACATTGTATAGATCTTAATAATTTAAAATTAATTAAACAAGGCTCAAATTACAGGCAATTAGATGCATATAAAAGCATCAGAATTAATAAATGTAAAGATAGTATGAACAGAGACAACGGTCCAATTCCTTCAAGTTCTTTGTTCCTACTACTCTAGTGGCGGAAATCTAACTGTTACGCTCAGTGGGTTCTGACTCGGTTGGCTAGATTTTGCCACGCCCACTCGGTGCCCACTGGGCGAGTATATAAACGCTCAACTTGTAGATTGTACTTTAGTTTATAATCATCTGCTGATGATGCTAACATGGTTAGCGAAACGCGCGTCCAGTGTAAAAGTAAAAGTGTTTTGGTGTATTGTGGTGATTTAGTGTTTTTATTTTGCTGTGTAACACCAAAGGTTCCAACCCTCAACTGTATAATGAAAGTGATAAGCAAAGAATAAACGTCTTGGAGATGTGGGTATACCAACGGCTGCTGCGAATACCATCGACAGCTCATCGAACAAACATCTCCATTATCGAAGAACTAAAAATTGACACACGTCTGGTTACCAAATTAAATCAGCCAATCCTCCGATATTTTAGCCATATTGCCAAGACTGGCACCTCAAGTGAGAGACTGATGGTGAAGGGGAAGGTAGAGGGAAGACGATCACGTGGGAGGTCGCATAAAAGGTGGGCAGACCAAGTCAAAACCCTAGTGGGCCACAACCCCCCGAAGCCTCACATATGGCGCTGTGTCGAACAACTTGGTCCGAGGAAGTGAGGGGAATCAACACATGATGTCACCATACTCTCACGTAGGGTAAAGGACTGAAGAGAGATTTGTATATACCGATCGTTCACGATATTCTCCGATGGTGGCAGCGCCGGCGGAGAATGCACCAAGCCTATAAGAGCATGTATATGTTGGAGGCAGATGCCGAATTCAGCCTATGTCTGAAATAATTAGACATTCAACAACTTCTTTGCGGAGAGGGTTAATCTTTTTTTGGTATAATATTGTCAAGGTGTATTACTGGTTGCATAACTGCATACTGCTAAAAATCCTGGCGCATTCGCCAGAAAGTAAAGAAAATTATAGAATTCTTTAGAAAAATCTAGACACAACCGCCAGGGGGTATATAAGGCCCGCGCTTTGACAGTTGAACAAGTTTGAAGTTTGAAGTCTAAGTCTGAAGTTTGAAAATAACGCGAAATACCGTTAGAGTAATAGTAGTTGCATAAGTTGTGTTGTAAATAGTATAAGTTGTGTACAGAGTGAAACAAATAAATTCGTTAAGTATTTTATCGTGAGTTTAAATAGTGGACCCACGGAATTCGTAACAATTGGTGTCGGAAGTGCGATTCAAGAAGATTTTAAGAAGAAATTAAGTGGATTGGAAGATTTTTAGACCGGATTAGAGTATTTTTATGGTTGGTACAAGGGAACAAGCGAAGAAAATGGAGGAAGTAAGCAAACTATTAGGCGATTTTATGGAGAATATGAGAAGGGAGAAAGCAGAAGAACAAGAAAGACTCCGTAAAGAACGAGAAGAAGAGCGAGCCCGATTAGAAAGAGAAAAGGAAGAGGAAAAACTACGACGTCAACAAGAACAGGACCGGCTTGAGAACATTTTCGAAGATTTGAAAGTTCAACGACAACAAGACAAAGAAGAAGAACAGGACCGGCTTGAGAAAATTTTAGGCAATTTAGAAAGTCGTCAGAAGAATGAATGGAGGGAAATTTTAGAAGATATAGAAACGCGCCGCCAAAAAGAAAGACAAGAAGATCAGGACCGTCTTAAGAAAACTTTAGAAAATCAGGAATTTCGACTACAGAAGAATTTTGAAGACCTGGAAAAACGACAGGAGAACCATTTCCAAGAAGTTGTAGAAGATCTGGAGGAACGCCTTCAGCAGAAAATGGAAAAATTGGAGATGGACCTACAGAAGACCAAGGTACAAGTAAGGACACCTGGCGTTCATGGAACTGCGAACCTCAAGGCCCCAACCTATGATGGACAAACCACCTGGACTATGTACCACCGCCAGTTTGAAGCAGCCGCCGCTGCCAACGGATGGACCGATCAGGAGAAAGCAGCGGCACTTGTCATCGCGCTGCGTGGCCCTGCCCTGGAACTGTTGCAAACTATTCCTGCAGCCCAACAGCAGGAATACCAAACTTTGGTCGCTGCACTGGACAGAAGATATGGCGACCAACATCGACGCCAACTTTACCAGGCCCAGATCAAGACACGCCTGCAGAGGTCCGGAGAGAGTCTCAAGGAATTTGAAGCAGACTTACGTCGGCTGGTACACCTAGCGTATCCTGAAGCACCGGAAGGATTTAGGGAGGAACTCGCTGCTCAGTGCTTTATCAGCGGACTGAGGGACAACGAATTACAGAGGGCGCTGCAAATATCCCGATTTTCTATCAGCAGCGAAGCACTGGTCAGAGCGCTGGAAATCGAAGCTGCATTTAGCGCCATCCCTAGACCGAAGATAAGATCGGTAACGGTCGAGGAACAGCCCGGAAGTTCTCACATACGTTTGGAGGAGATGTTTAGTAAACTATGTGAGTTACTAGTGAACAAGAGTAGCAACAACACCCAGACAGAGAGCTATAGAAGATCACAGGACATAAGGTGCTTTAGATGTGGCAGGAATGGCCACATCAAACGGGATTGCCGCGTTCAAATGCGATCCCGTTCACCATCCAGAGAACGTAGGCACCAGGAAAACTAAAATCAGTCAATACTAAGGGGCGAGTATTGACTGGGGAGAACAGAGCCCCCAGGATTTTTTCCATTAGGAGTCTGGGAAGAACCGCTGACAGTTTAGTGATCGACGGGAAGGTCAATGGTAGGAGAATCCGAATGACAGTGGACACTGGCGCTATGGTATCGTTGGTGCGGGCTAACTCAGTGCAAGGATTGAAGCTGATGCCTCTGGGAAGAAGAGTGTGTTTACGTACAGTTACGGGGGAAATGGCCGTTGTACGGGGAGAGGCTATCGTCGAACTGAAGTTAGGAAATTTGAAGTTTCAGCATAGCGTCTTAGTGGCAGATATTGAAGATGACTTCATCTTGGGCATGGATGTGATTCGTCAACATGGATTTTCGTTCGATCACCAGAGAAATATCTTAAATATTGGAAATGAAGAGTTCATGTTATCTCCAGACGAGGGACCAGGCAGAATGGATGTAAGATCAGCGGAAACTGTGGTGATACCTGGTAATACCGAGAAAATCGTATTCGGTAAAGTGGAGAAAATCGCTGGGTGCTGTGTTGGACTGGTACAAAGTAGCGACAACAAAAAGATAGGTACTTAGTAGGAAAGTCGTTGGTGAACACTGACAAGAATGTACCGATCAGAATTGCGAATGTTTTCCCGAATTGTGTCAAGATTCAAAAGGTGACAAGATAGCCATCTGCGAACCTGTAAGAAGTGTCACCCGATGTGATGAAGTGTCGTCAGCTGTTACACAAAAGGCATCCCAAGAAACACTAAAACATCTAGAACAGCCATGGGATCACCTAACACCTGAGGAGAAACAGAAGGCCAAGCAGTTCCTGCTAAAGCATGGCAGTATTTTTGAGAAGAACAACAGTGGAAGAACGGATTTTGTGAAGCACCGGATTAATACTGGTCATGCTCAGCCGATTCGACAACGTCCTAGAAGGGTGCCCCTTTCCAAACAACAAGAAATGGAGACAATGGTAGATAAGATGCTAGAAGATGGAGTTATCGAAGAATCATCGAGTCCATGGTCATCTCCTGTTGTTTTGGTGACGAAGAAAGATGGTAGTACACGATTCTGCGTGGACTATCGGAAGCTCAATGACGTCACTAAGAAGGACAGCTACCCACTGCCACGTATAGACGACACGTTAACCACACTGGCAGGTTCGTGCTGGTTCTCCACTCTCGACTTAAAGAGTGGATACTGGCAAGTTGGTCTGGACGAGGAAGACAAAGAAAAGACGGCTTTTTCTACAGGAAACGGACTATACCAATTCAAGGTCATGCCGTTTGGATTATGCAATGCTCCAGCCACTTTCGAACGTCTCATGGAGGTGGTGTTAAGAGGATTAACTTGGAAAACGTGCTTGGTTTACCTCGACGATGTATTGGTTATGGGAAGAACTTTTGAGGAGCATTTGCGAATTTAGAAGAAGTCTTCGGCCGCATACGGAATGCTCACCTGTACTTGAACCCGAAGAAGTGTAGCTTATTCCAGCGACAAGTGGAATTTTTGGGCCATGTAGTCTCAGCAGACGGAATTTACACTGACCAGAAGAAAATCGCTGCAATCAAGGATTGGCCTAAACCTCGCGACAAACATGAACTTAGAAGTTTTCTGGGTTTATGCACCTATTACAGAAGATTTGTCAAGGGATTTGCCAATATAGCTGCACCCTTACATAGACTTACAGGTGATGAAGTCGGCTACGAATGGAACACCGATTGTGATGTAGCCTTTGGAAGACTTAAGGCGGCTTTATGTTCAAGTCCTATTCTAGCCTACCCGCAACAACAAGGGAGGTATATCCTGGATACCGACGCCAGCAATATCGGCATAGGTGCAGTGCTATCACAAGTGCAAGATGGCGAAGAACGAGTGATAGAATATTACAGTCGAGTTCTATCCAAACCAGAAAGGAATTACTGCGTTACCCGGAAGGAGCTGCTAGCAATTGTGAAGGCAGTTGATCATTTTCATAAATATCTGTACGGCCAAGAATTTTTAATTAGGACAGATCATGCGGCTCTCAAGTGGCTTATGGAGATGAAACAACCTGAAGGTCAAATAGCACGATGGCTCGAGAAGCTCCAACAGTATCACTTTACCATCCAACATCGTGCTGGAAAAATGCATGGTAACGCAGACGGTTTATCCAGAAGACCCTGTCAAACCGATTGTAAGCACTGCTGTAAAACGGAACAACGTGAAGGCACTGTCATGATAAGGAGTTTTAAACTTGGAACCGATGAACAGTGGACGACGACACAATTGAGGAAAGATCAAATGGAAGATCCAGACATCGGAGCAATACTACGGCTCAAGGAAGGTAACGGCGAGAGACCACCGTGGCAGGATATTGCGGACAGAGGGCTCGTTTTCAAAGCTCTCTGGGCTCAGTGGAATTCACTGGTTATTGAGAATGGATTGTTAAAGCGCACATGGGAAAGTGCGGATGGCAGCACAGTAACAACTCAGTTACTGGTACCAAGGAAGAAAGTTACCCAGGTATTGGAAGAAATTCACGGTGGTAAAACTGGAGCCCATCTTGGGGTAAACAAGACCTTGAGCAAGCTGAGAGATCGCTTTTACTGGGTGGATTATTGCGAAGATGTCAAGAAATGGTGTCGACAATGTAAAATTTGTGCAGCCAGCCAAGGACCAAGCACTCGATCTAGGGGAAAAATGAAACAATATAACGTTGGACTGCCATTCGAAAGAATCGCTGTTGACATTGCAGGCCCATTCCCTGAAACGCACAAGGGCAACAAGTACGTTTTAGTGGCGATGGATTATTTCAGTAAATGGCCAGAAGTTTTTGCCATTCCAAACCAAGAAGCATCGACTGTAGCTGAAGTATTAGTCATAATGTCTTCAGTAGATTTGGAATTCCTTTAGAGCTTCACACTGACCAAGGAAGGAACTTCGAGTCAAGACTGTTCCAGAAGATGTGTGATCTGCTTGGTATTCACAAGACTAGGACAACAGCTTTACATCCGCAGTCTGATGGGATGGTCGAGAGATTCAATAAGACCATTGAAGAACATCTCTCGAAAATGGTGGATGAACATCAAAGAGATTGGGATCAGCATATACCACTATTCCTAATGGCATATAGAAGTGCAGTTCACAACACCACCGGACTTTCACCATCGAAGATTTTATTTGGTCGAGAATTACGGTTGCCTTGTGACTTGGTGTTCGGATCACCAGACGACAGCACCACGAACGTAGAGGACTACGCGGATGAACTGAAGGAAAGGTTATTGGGAATTCATAAGGCCGTGAGAAGTAAGATTACGCTAGCCAGTGACCGGATGAAAGCTCGTTACGACCTCAGAGCTAATTCTACGGGATTTCAACAGGACGATATGGTATGGTTATATAACCCACAGCGCAAGAAAGGGAGGTCCCCAAAGTTAACTCCAGCATGGGAAGGTCCTTATACAGTCATCAAGAGGATAAATGATGTTGTGTACCGGATTCAACGCAGCCCTAGAAGTAAGATGAAAGTAGTTCATCTGGATCGATTGAGAGATACCAGACAGGAAACCTTGATCGGGACGATCAAATTTGAGAAGGGGGCAATGTCAAGGTGTATTACTGGTTGCATAACTGCATACTGCTAAAAATCCTGGCGCATTCGCCAGAAAGTAAAGAAAATTATAGAATTCTTTAGAAAAATCTAGAAACAACCGCCAGGGGATATATAAGGCCCGCGCTTTGACAGTTGAACAAGTTTGAAGTTTGAAGTCTAAGTCTGAAGTTTGAAAATACCGCGAAATACCGTTAGAGTAATAGTAGTTGCATAAGTTGTGTTGTAAATAGTATAAGTTGTGTACAGAGTGAAACAAATAAATTCGTTAAGTATTTTATCGTGAGTTTAAATAGTGGACCCACGGAATTCGTAACAATATTAACAACAAAAGATTAACACCCTCCGCATAGAAGTTAAAACCAACGCAATCAAAACTCTTCCGCGTAACTTTGTGGATATAGGTAGGTATATTTAATTATAATCGCCATATGTCTAATTATTTCGGACATAGGGCGAATTCGGCATCTGCCTCCAACATATACACATAAATGAGCAAGTATAAGCATAAACAATGAGTTGTAACTCAAACCAGGGCAACAATAAATCTATAAAGTCACAGTAATTTTTTAAGCGCGACGTTATATTCAAAAAGCATATGAAAATTAGGACTTGTCCTTGATCGCCGGAATTAGAGGAATCTCCAGTTATCACTATTATACCGCTATTATATAGATTTAGCTACGGTTTGGCGTTTTAATTTGAAAATTGTAATATGTAGTGTTGAAGTGTTGGTAATAATTACTCTGCAATATAAATATAGCCAATAGATGCTCAGGAGAAGAGTAACGTGTTCTGTATACCAAACTTTTTCACTTTTAAAAAATTTGTTCTAATTCTTTTTTCATTTTGTTCTATATGTTCTTAAAACTCTCATTTTTCTCTAGAATAATAACAAAAAACAAGAAAATTTAAAAAAAGTATCTGACACTTCAACTTATTTTCTTTGTATTAATTATCAGTTTGGGACATTGTTTGTTTATGTCCTATTTACAACTTCCAAGGCGCAAAAGAAAAATGCAGATGGCATTGAGATACCCTTTTAGAAAAGCAGAAAATTTAAAACTATAAGAAGCCTAAATGTATATCATTACTTACGTAAATAATTTTAATATCATAGTCTTCACAATACATAAACACCAAATTGGCCTCAGCACAGAGGATCTGAGCTCGCTTCTGTACAAATTGTTCGCAGTCCATCGATCTCTGGGTCACTATTATTTGTCGATCAGTCACGTTGTCCGATACTATATCGAACTGTTGATCAGTCAGGCTCTGTACGAGTAAAGGAATTTCTATCGGATTGTTATAGTCATCTGAAATTGAGTTTGTATTTTAAAATAAAGTACATAAATTCTAATTGAAATATGTCTAAATATAACTATTTACTTATTCTAAATAGAATTTGTTCATTGTATAACAACAAAATAAATCATTTTTTCTATTTTGTTGTGTTTTTTTTTGTTTTGATATATACTCTATTTTACACCACGAAGTATTCCTTAAAGTTCGTTTAATAACAAAAATAAAATTAAAATAAGTTATACACTAAATTGATTTTATTTTATTTTCTTAAAAAAGTAAAAAAATACAGATTATAGAACATAATGGTAATCGCCAACTTTTTAAATAAAAGTAAAATGTTTTTGTGTAATGTTGTTAATTAGTGTTTTATTTTGCTGCTGTGACACCAAAGGCTCCAACCCCGAGTTTTAATCATCTGCTGATGATGCTAACATGGTTAGTGAAACGCTCGTGCAGTGTTGAAAGTAAAGCGTTTTGGTGTATTGTTGTGAATTAGTGTATTATTTTGCTGTTGCAAAGTTACAACTTGTAACACCAAAGGTAAACAACAAACAAAGGTAAACCCACTTGTAACACAACTTGTTAATTGCTAACACTTTTATACATAGCTATGTTTGTATATTTTTGAACTTGTCTTATTTGTATAAAATGCTATATTGTTTAAATACCTAAATCTCTGCACTATATTTACAGAATATAACACTTTCTAAAATAATAAATTATAATAAAAGGTTATAATGAAAAATAAAAATTCTCCTGAATAAATTTCCTGAAAAAATAATCTTATACAATTAAATGGATATACCTGGTGCATTTCAAAAGTGGTTTACCACTATAACTTTTTTATTTTTTCAGATAAAGAATCCAGATTTGGTATGTTAGTATACAACATACCTAAATTAGAATTTATTGACGTATTCAATTGTTTTCAGTTACTTCCTGTTTCACCGGAAATTACTACAACTTTTGATTTTTAAATGACACCCTCGGTATTTTGTTGCTTTATTTTATTTGATAGAAAATGACACCACAGAACAGATACAAATATATCTGTTCTGTGATGACACTCTGAATAGAATGACATATCATATGTCAACTTTTGACATTTTCGAATATAGTGTATTTGAAATTACAACATGCGATTTATAACTCGAAATAAATTTGACTCGAAATATCAAGTATGCTTTTTCCAAATATGCTAATGAGCCATCCTCGCTCCATTTGAAAATGGAGATATGTATATACGGTATATACGGCCAAGAAAAGACACTAAAAACATTAGACAATCAAATCTATTTTTCCAAGGCTCCTTGATTAAAAACTAGTGTTCTTAACACAGTCATGGCACTCTAGATTAAAATTTAAAATACAATTTTATTTTAGGCGAAAATGTCAAAAGTTGACATATGATATGTCAATCTATTCAGAGTGTAATTTTCTATCGAATAAAGGAAAAAAACACCGAGGATGCCATTTAAAAATCAAAAGCTGTAGTCATTTCCGGTGAAACAGGTAGTGGTCGGAAAAAATTGAACACGTCAATCAATCCTAATTTATGTCATATACTAACATACCAAATCTAGTTTTATGTGAAAAAATAAAAAAGTTATACCAAGCCACTTTTGAGAGGCACCCGGTAAATAAAACTAGCATACCTCGACTTTGTCCAGATAACAAAGAGCTATTCTCAAAATCGCCGTTGGAATACCTCCTGACTACTTTCTTGATCCATTTGGGTGTTTCAGTCTTGGGGTCCACTATAAGCAATCCATTTTGATTAAATCGACTATCTGCATTAAAATTGGAGGTAGTAAAATTAACAGGGGTTTTTAGCACCAGTCTACTGTCCGAATCAGAGCAATCGCTGTCTAAACCTGGCGAGTAGACGTTTACCTTTCTGGCGGCCTCTTTGGGACTGATTGGGGATTTAGAATGATGAGGGGAGTTTCGGACGGATGTACAATAGATATGGCGTGCCCCGCTGGGCGAGAATTGACCGCACCGCGAATTGGGGCTCTGCATTGGCGAGCGCCAACCCGGCGATCGCGGACTTAAGAATAGCGAATTAAAATCTGGCGATCGGATACCGCGACCTTGCGATCTATATAAATACCTACGCTCGCGCCTAAGGATATGGAATGGCACAATATTCTCAGTATTGTCTTCCGAGAATTCATATTTTTTATCGGCTAAACGTTTTTTCCTAAACAGACTAATTTTTTCATATTTTTCATTTTCCTCGATAAACTCGTAAGCTTTTTCCGCGTTCTTCTTATCGATTTTTGTTTTTTCGGGTTGTTTTTGAGATTGCGACATTGAGGTTTGAGGAACAGAAAACACGTATTCTTTAGAACTGTTTTGTAAACGTTTAATTCTAGGATCGAGAATATTTTGTACCAAAGTATTATGGTAACTTTTCCCTGTAACATTGAGTGGTTCACAACTAATATTAAGCTCATGAAATGGTTTATTACCTTCACTAGATTCTAAGTCATATTCACTAAAGTCTTCTAAAATGGCATCAACTACACTACTACAGCCGAAATGATCACTAGTTGATTCAGATACCTCACTAAATGTATCGTTAAAAAAATTTGCCGTAATAGGTATATTACCTTTCACATCTTCTTCTTTAATGAAATTTGTCAAAGTAACGTTTGCTTGTGGAGGGCCTAAAGTACTAATATTTAAAATATGAATGTGATGACCTGTGTTAACAACTAAATGATCAGGATATCCAAGGGATATTTTGGGGTGAAATGTAGGAGCAGGATGGGTCATAGAAAACATGTAATGTATAACAAACCCATGTTTGGTACACCAGCTTTGCGGCAAACATTCTGAAAGAATAAAAAAAGATTTAATAAGTTGGGGGTGTTTTAATAAATTAAAAAAAATAATATACAGGGTGTTTCATTTAAAAAAAAACGAAATTATCTTATATTTTAGAAAGTTTAGCATAGAATTTTGAGAATCTTGTATGATTCACGATTACCACATTTATTGTAAAGTACAGACTATCTAAAGTAAATAGTAAATACCTAATATAGTTTTGATTTCAGGGAACTTCTTGTATTTTTAATATTTTTTTTAGAAGGGCTGAAAAATATATATTTTTTATTTATTTATTAATATCTCTGAAACTATCAAAATAAATTTAATCAAATCTTAGGATTTTGTAAAGTGACCTAAAAGGAAGCCAAAAATGCAATAATATATGCAATAATAACCCTGCATGTGTTCCATTTAAAAAAAATCTTTCCAATCCACTCATACTTTTTTGAGCCACCCTAGAGAAGTTAAAATATTTTCCTGAAATACATCCTAGTACATACTTTAGGTTTGCACTTAAACAAAATTGCTAAGTTTTTTTATTCTGGGTGCTACAGATGCCCGACGCACTATTGCCAGATCCTGTATACTAATTTTTCCTTTAAAAAATAAAATAATTTTATCGCATTTCCAGGTTTTATATGTAAATCACCTTATGTTTATGATATAAAATACAGAGTTGTTCCATTGACATAATGGAGAAAAATACATAGTTCTGACTCACCCTGTATAATATATGAAACACTGCAAATATTAGTCAGCTAACTTTTGAAAAAGATATTTTTGTATGGTACTTCCAGTTAAAAAGTATCAAAAATTTTCGATTTTGGAATCTTGAGAAAAGTTTAAATAAGCAACAAATTTAATACAGGGTGTCCCAATATTTCGTGGACATAGAACTAGTATATAGGTAGGTATTACCTTTATATTAGGTTTTGTAAAATTCTACTTACTTGTATTAAAAAACAATTGTTCATGGCAGTGAATACAACTGGCTGGAGAAGGTAATGTTACAACACTAATATGAAATAAATCTGGATGATGAGATCTAATAAAACATATATCTTAATATCATTAGACAAACTGTAATTCAATGAAACTTACTCATCATATCCGTAACATACAACTTTATGTACATCATTTGGAAACTGCATAAACATAATCTTGTCCAATACATAATCTCCTTTTAAATGACAGAATATTTTATGTCTTGATACAAATTGCAATTTTAGCCCGGGAACAAATCGCCAAATATACAGTTCATATTCATAAGGGTGAATAAAGAAGAACATATTGTAAGGATCCCTTGAAGAAGTACTCTCAAACACTTTTTCAGTATAACTTAAAAAGTATTGACCACAGAGAGTGAACCCCATATAAATATGACCTCTAAAAGTTACATAAATATGAATTATAAATTATTATTGAAAGTAAGCTTAGAATTATCTGAAATTAATCTAATATTTACTGAATCTAGTTTCTGCAAAGGCTAAAAAATGTACAAAAACATTAAAAAATAACACTTACAAAGCTTCATATTCCTTGATTAGGGAGCTCAAGGAATACCTGCACTTGGTATGAATATTCTTAAATACTTTTTCAGTCTTAGATTTAGAAGTTCTACAGAATCTCCCATACAACTGTAATTAATAATAATACAATTTCAAAAATAACGTTTATTTGAGGTTAAGGCACCAAAACATACCTCTCTATTTAATATATTTGTAGCTAAATTAGGGGGTTTTATGGTATTTTCAATACACGTTGCATTGCCTGGTCCATTACTTTCATCCGAAATAATCGAATAATTAGATATAGGAGTAAAATCTGATAGATTATCTTCGGAATTTTCATCTTCGGATGTTATAGACGCCATGTTGTTTGGCTACTTTAACAGAATTTAATCTGTTTGAAGAGTTGCCTGCTTTAAGAGATTTTTTTTTCAAATAAATTCAAATTCTAATTTTGTTTTTCTTTAATTTGAGATTTTATATACAGTCAGAGATACAGTTATTAAACTAACTATTACAATATTCATAGCTAATAATTTTAGATAATTAGTTATCCTTTAATGCTTATTTCTTATGAAAAAAACCTAGTTAATTTTTCTTATGTGCATAGGTAATATCGTTTATCATTATATTGTAACAAAAATATTTAGAAATATTTCTCAAAACTTTCTATTTTTTTTAAACTTGTATTCTATACGTGTTAAATAAAAATTTACTATAGAAGCTTTTTATTAACCATTATTAGGAATAGATATCTCAAGTATGAGGCTTATTTTTGCGCGCATTTTTTGAAACAACTTATTTGCTGAATATAAACCTGAAAAGCCTGAAAAGCTGAAAATTGTGCGCATCTATAAAAGCTCTCAAGTTTCGGAAGCTTTCGGTTCTATTCGAGAGGGAGGGGGCGTTCAATGTTGCCAGTATTAACATTATTTTACTCTAATAATATTGAATAAATATATATAATTTGATAATTTATGACAAAATGTTATTTATGTGTATTATACTTTTACCATAATATTTTTCTACATTAAGATTATACAAAACAAAAGCTCTAATAAATCATACTCTAGAATAAAATTAAGAGAATATAGTTATATAAATTTGGAAAGACTTTTTTTAAACCTGTAACTATTCAACTGTTTATTATAGACAAAAATGCGTAGGCGAAAGAGTATTATTTATTTTAGTAAATAAGAAATTATTTTGACATTACTTCGAAGGATTGGCGAATTCCTGGCAACACTGTGAGTTTTCATCGCAGTCGTCGGGCCGATCTAAATTCAAATCCAGTCATTTTAAACAAATTTCGCCGTGTTATTTAATAATAACGCACCGATAATCGCGTCACCGTGGGGTGCTATCGTTAAGACACCCTTTTGCGGTCGCGTTCGAGGGGATTGGAACGGACCCAAACTTCGTGTCACTAGCCGACATTTTCCCCTTCAGTTTTTCATTCAATAATCGGTTTGGTTGTACTACGAGGACGCGCGTTGGTGATAATTTACGGGATTTTTCGAAAATTTCCACAAAAATAGTAAAGAAAATCGAAAAAAAGCGTCGGAAATTCACAGATAAGCGGGGAAATTCGATAGGATTTAATTTAGGACGAGGGAGTTATTGATTAAATAGTGGAGCACTGGCATTTTTTCGAGCTCGCCGTTCTTGCCCGATATTAATTATTATCCTGTTCGAAAATGCAATTAATCCTGCTCATCACGAGGCATAGGAAGTTCTTGAGCAAGATATTCCGAAATAGGTGATGATGAGTTGCAACGGGTAAGATAAGATATATTTTATATTTATGTGCGGATGTGAATAGTATGGATGTGGTCCTTAAAGATTTCTGTCTAAAACTGAATCTACTAGGGCGTAAAAATATTAATTCATAATTTTTGTACTCAACCTCGATTATAAAATCTGATAATAATTTTTAGAAACGAATGTAGAATTATTATATGGCAGAATAATTAAATTTTTTAATTAAATCATTTATTAATTATAAACTAATAATATGATTTTAACAAAATTAACTGTTTATAGACCGACACAAAAATTCTTGATGATAATGTGGGCTAATTTGGGTATAAAACAAAAATAACATAAATATTAACAATTAATTATGTGAACTACATTAGTAACCGTCTAAGTAGATATGTATATTGAAAGCCTGTTGGATCATAATTTGTTGGTCATACAGTACCTATTTTGATACTGGAAAATATAACTGATGTACAGGGTAGCGCACCTCATTCGCCTCGGTTGATTATACGAAAACGGAAAGATGTAGAAACAAAATATTTTATGGGTATATGTGGGGTGGCAATATGCACAATCTAAAATTATTTTGAAATATACAGGGCGTCTCAGAACTAAGATCCATACCAAAGTTATATTTTTTCTTATGGAACACCCGGTATTTTATTTCATTTTTGAATTTTCAGGCCCAAAAAAAGGCATTTATTATAAGGGTTAAATATGTTTAAAATCATTGGTTTTTGAGATATTTAAAGATATTTAAATATGCATGCTACAAGAAAATTGATTATCAACACCCTGTATATTACTTTTCAGAATTAATTCTTGTGCTGAGTTTAAAGATAAAGAAATAAACTTTACTGATACCCCTTATAATAAATGTCTTTTTTTGGGCCCAAGAATCCAAAAATAAATTAAAATACCGGGTGTTCCATAAGAAAAAATATAACTTTGGTATGTATCTTAGTTCTGAGACACCCTGTATATTTCAAACTAATTTTAAATTGTACACATTGACTCCCCACATATATCCATACAATATTGTGTTTCTACATCTTTCCGTTTTCGTATAATCAACCGAGGCGAATGAGGTGCGCCACCCTGTATAGATAGTATTGTTTTGGCCTTTGAAATGGCAAACGATGACAATTTCTATAGTTAATTTTTACAAAAAGTAAATATAATATAATACCAAATACCATATGATCGAATAAAAACGGCGTTAGCGATGGCTATGAAATGAAGATCGCATTTTATATGTAAAATTATATGGGAAATGCCATCGATTGTCATTTCATAGCCATCTCTGACACCGTTTTTATTCGATCATACGGTAGTAGATAATGTCATTTGCCTAATAAGGATCTGAAAACCTAAAAATTGTGCGCATCGATAAAAGATCTGAGATTACCTGTCTGGGCAAAAATGATTTTTTTTCTATTTATGTATTTAAATAAGTACAATACGATCGAAAAAAAAACGACGTCAAAAAAGGCTGGGGAATGACAATCGATAATAATTTTGGCGAGGTGAAGCCCTAGACGTCATATTCTTGGCCTATACTCTTCTTTATTTTTAAGGCCTTAAGAAGGTTCTTACTTATTTTTATACTTATGAGTAAAATTGATTTTTAAATGTGTATCTATATTTATAAAAGTTTATAATCCGAGAAAAACTATTTTTTTGGAAATAGATTTGTGTTTGAAAACGTCCTACGTTTTTTTAATCTTTTTAAATCATTGTGTTCATTTCTGGCAAGTTTTATGTCAACTTTTAGTAAATGACGTCTAGAGATTGACCTCGCCAAAATTATCATAGATTGTCATTCCCCAGCCGTTTTTAACGACGTTTTTTTTTCGGTCATATGGTATTTATGTTAATTTTTAATAAATAACATAGAAAAGTAGGCCGAATAGAAATTATAATCGATTTTTATTTCACACGCTACATATATTTTGAAAAATAGTATCAAAGATTTTTTAAGAATTAGAAGAACTATTAATTAATAAAAAACTTACTAAAATGACAATAAAAAATATACTAAAACAATCGCATTAAAATGTGATTATTTTTTGGGAAAATAATAATAGTCTAGCAGTTAATCTTTTAAATAATTTTTGGTATGTAATGCTGCCTAAAAATAACTATCATTTGATACTACGATACTTATCTAATGTTATCAAATGGACATAGAGATAAAAAAGATAAACATAATGTACGATCAAAAAGTTTTATCATTAAGGTGGCATTAATTTTGAAAGTAAAAAAATGTAATGTGGTTTTTCACAAAAATTGTTTAAGTTTCATCATACAGAGCACACGTGATCATAAAATTTTTTGATCACATTGTTGTCTATTAGATTTATTTTATTATGGCGCTCATACATAAGAAACGAGGCAACCATTTCACTATTTACTACAGTAACATTTATAATACCTTAGATGGTATATATTTATAGTTTAATAAGTATATTAAGCGCGTCACCAAGAGTTATTCACCTTGGTCATCATCATCATAATTTTCAGCTTATTCAACCATTTTCAATTATGGTGTAGCCTCCCTCGCCCTTGTTGTCTATTGTTGGCTATGCGGGCCCAAGTTGTCCCCGCTAATTTCCTAATATCACGGTCCCATCTGAGGTTCGGCCTTCTTCTAGGTCTCTTAATTCCTGTAATTTTTGTGGTCGTCCATCTGTTGTCCGTTCTTCTTGCCAGGTGTGCTGCCCATTGCCATTTGAGGGATTTGACTCTGTGGATGACATCTATTCCCAGCAAATTTCGTTCCATTGAGTGTTGTACGACCTGCAGTTTCCTTATGATGTCTGTTTTAAGTGTCCAGGTTTCGCATGCATAGGTCATCACTGATAGGACACATTGGTCGAATTTTTTTCTTTCTTTAGATAGAGTGGCATTCTAGATTTCAATATGATTAAGATTATTATGAATTAAGTTTCATACTAACTTAATTCTTCTCTTGATTTCTGGTAGTAGAGATCGCGAGCTGTGTATTAGTTGTCCCAAATATATATATTCTTCTACTATTTCCAGTCTTGTGTTATAATGCCTTTTTTCTATTAGTTCGTTGTACATTACTTTAATTTTTGCTAAATTCATTTCGAGACCCATTTTATTTGATGGCTGTATTTAATTCATTAATTTGTGCTAATAGTTCTTCAGGACTATTGGTAATTAGGACAATGTCATGAGCGAATCTTCGATCGTTAATCCTTTGTTGGTTCAGTACAGTTAACAGAAGATTTCTTCTAGTACCGTACTCTTTTTGTACTTGAGCCCATTGTTGTCTATTGTTAGCTATGCGGGCCTAAGTTGTCCCCGCTAATTTCCTAATATCACGGTCCCATCTCAGGTTCGGTCTTCTTCTAGGTCTCTTAATTCCTGTAATTTTTGTGGTCCATCTATTGTCCGTTCTTCTTGCCAGGTGTCCTGCCCATTGCCATTTGAGGGATTTGACTCTATGGATGACATCTATTACCTGGGTCTTTTATCGTATCCACTCTATTCTTTTACGGTCTCTTTTGGTTATTCCCAGAATATTTCGTTCCATTGAGCTTTGTGTGACCTGCAGTTTCCTTATGATGTCCGTTTTAAGTGTCCAGGTTTCGCATGCATAGGTCATGGCTGGTAGAATGTTTTCTTCTTTAGATAGAGTGGTATTCTAGATTTGAATATGATTGAGTTTCTTCAATAAGTACTCCATGCTAACTTAATTCTTCTGTTGATTTCTGGTAATAGAGGTCCCGAGCTGTGTATTAGTTGTTCCAAATGTCTTTTCTTTCCACTAGTTCGTTGTACATTACTTCAGTTTTTGCTAAATTCATTTTGAGACCCACTTTATTGCTGGATGTATTTAGTTCACTAATTTGTGCTAATAATTCTTCAGGACTATTGGCAATTAGGACTATGTCATCAGCGAATCTTAGGTGGATAAAATATTCTCCATCTATTTTTAATGCTTTGTTGGTCCAGTCTAGTTGATGGAAGATTTCTTTTAGTGTTGCTGTACACAGCTTTGGGGATATCGCGTCTATATTGGCCAGAGTTTCTATATAAGGCCTGTGAATATTTTGTTTACCTAGGGCTTCTATTATTGTCTTAGAATATATCGAGTCGAAAGCATTCTCAAAGTCTTTACTTTGGTACCTATGCACCACTATTTGCAACAATAATATTAATAATACCCAAGTTGATAATTATTTATATTTCAAAATTTATATCCAGCGTTACCCAATAAGAGGTATTAACCTTGATTGCCTTAAATTCCTTCGTTAGATTCCTTTTTTTCTATTTTTAACTTAATTTAGAATTGGGCAGGTTCTTAAAATATTTTTTTGTTAGAAAAGTACTTCACAACTAAAATACAACATACTGTATATTCAATTCGTAATGTTTGTTTCGATTTACTAAATAATTAGCTTGAGAATTCCGAGAAAACATGTTAAATCAACGTGCGTGCTTAATAGTTACATATCAGATCCTTATCAATGTTTTACCACCGCACGTTTTTCTACCGAGGCATACGGAAAACTACAAATTGATTCCCTATTTTTATTATAATAAGCCATTTGTTTTGTTTATTTGTATCGATTTATTATTTATATAAAATACATTGATCGACTTTTACTGGCGAATTCAATATTATCTTGTGTATTAATATTAGAAATATTGGTTCTCTTAGTAAAAATAAAACTACATAAACTTGAAAAGCTAACTAAATTCACTCATAATAATATTTTCATTTAAATGGTGATGTAAAGCAACATATAAAAAAATATTATTAGTATTCTGTAAACACAAAACGTGTCTCATAAGTTGTAAAATTGTGTAGTTCACAAACAAAAGTTAGGTGAAAAATCCATTTATTTGTTTTAAATAAAAACAGAGTTTAAGTAAACAAATATTGTTTCGATAATAGCAAAACAAATATTGATTTTAAATAATTACAAGAGTGTAGGTACAAGTATCAATAATTAACTGACATATATTCTTTTAAACAAGTTATC